CATCATCAATGTGGTCATGTAAATGTCGAGTTATCTATCAACTAAGAGGTCTATTTTTTATTTACTTGTGATGATGTATATCTGATCTGGAACTTGGATCCAATGTCAGGGCCGTGAACCATTTGTATCGTATGAGGGTCTCGAGCAACTCCTGAGATTCTTATTTGTCCTGGGTATCACTCATGTTCTGTACAGTGGCATTGCCATTGGTTTAGCCATGAGCAAGGTACACAGTCTAGCTCCTGAATCTGCATATGAGTGCTACATTTTTATTCTTCGGTATTTCTATGTTAAGTATATGGCAGTATATTTAACCTTTCATCTCTTTACAAAGACTATTGTTATTTTATATGGAGACAGAACATGGTAACAGTGTTGTTTCTTAATCATGTGGCACAGATTTACAGTTGGAGAAAATGGGAAACCCAAGCGATCATAATGGCTGAAGCAGATATCCATGGTAAATGACAGAACTTCGTGTTTCTCATTTTAAGTAACGGCTTGTATGTTTCTTTGATGCTCATCTTGAGGAACATGAGGAACTGTGCTGTCTTAGGATTGGAAATAGCTAGGATTGTTTAGGTTGTTGATTTCATGAGCTAAACTGAGCGTTGGAGATGCTTTTATGCTGTAGTTGCAACTATCTCTTTGCCTAGAGTATAGTCAATTCCAGTAAACTCTTATAACTACATATATTAGCTGCTTTGATCTTCAAATTCTTCTTGATATATCCTCTTCTTCAATAGCAAAGAGGACGAAAGTGATGATGCGGCAGTCTACATTTGTCTTCCATCATGCTTCTCATCCTTGGAGTAACAATCGTTTTCTCATCTGGATGGTAACTCTCCATGATTTCACCTTGATCTGCCATATCTCCAGTTGGGAACTACTATCAAAGAACATTCTACAATATATATGTTTGTTGTTGCAGCTTTGTTTCCTGCGTCAGTTTAGAGGCTCCATAAGGAAGTCTGACTATTTTGCGCTTCGGTTAGGTTTCCTCACTGTGAGTATCTTTCATTCAAACATAAACTGTAACACTTCTCAACCAATCTCATAGCGCTGTCATGATTATTTGTACTGATCGTGTTTCATTACTTTGAAATTTCAGAAACATAACTTACCATTTACATATAATTTCCATATGTATATGGTACGGAGTATGGAAGATGAGTTTCATGGCATTGTTGGAATAAGGTAGTCTTTGATTCAAACTACAGTCTGAAGATTTCGTAAAAGAGTACCTTAACTAATGTTTCTTAATAAATCAACAGCTGGCCGCTTTGGGTTTACGCTATAGTATGCATCTGCATAAATGTTCATGGTAACTCAACGGTTATAGAACTTCAAATCTATCTCCGCATTTAAGCTATATCATTTTAACTTGATGATATTGTTGCAGGCCTGAATATGTACTTTTGGTTATCATTCATCCCTGCCATTGTAAGTCAACAAATCAAGTAGATAGCTTGAAATTCATAAGGCACTAACAGTCAGAGCATGTGTTTTGTTGTTTAAGCTTGTCATGCTGGTTGGAACGAAACTTGAGCACGTTGTCTCAAAGCTAGCTCTAGAGGTTAAGGAGCAGCAGACAGGCACAACTGGTGGGGCTCAAGTGAAACCGCGTGATGGACTTTTCTGGTTTGGGAAACCTGAAATTCTGTTACGGCTGATACAGTTTATCATCTTTCAGGTAAACAAAACTACAAGCCATGACTCTTCTTTATTTATTCTTAGATATGCTTCTTATATACTTTCTGATAATGCAGAATGCATTTGAGATGGCAACATTTATCTGGTTCTTGGTAAGAGCACCAATACTTAAATCAACTACGTAAAGTTTTTCAGATTTTTGACAAGATCTTTCATCTCATGTATCAGTGGGGAATCAAGGAAAGATCCTGCTTCATGAAAAACCACGTTATGATATCTAGCCGTCTCATTTCTGGGTGCGTTTAAACACACATAACAGTTTTGCAGACGCCAACCGTCTCTAATGATTTTCTTTGTGGTGAATGCAGGGTTCTTGTTCAGTTCTGGTGTAGTTATGGCACTGTGCCTCTCAATGTTATTGTCACTCAGGTTCGTATAACCCTTTTATACATCTTCAAGCTCCAATATTTTAAGTTTATCAAGGTCTTAACTAAGCATTGTTCACCTGAATAGATGGGGTCTCGGTGCAAGAAAGCTGTGATAGCAGAGAACGTAAGAGACTCACTTCACAGCTGGTGCAAGAGAGTGAAAGAGAGGTCTAAGCACGCGAGATCAGTGTGTTCTCTCGACACAGCGACAATAGACGAGAGAGACGAGATGACAGTGGGAACATTGTCTAGGAGCTCATCAATGACCTCGCTGAATCAGATCACCATAAACTCCACAGACCAAGCAGAGTCCATATTCGGAGCAGCAGCTTCATCGAGCAGTCCTCAAGATGAATACACTTCGAGAGTCGAAGAATATCTGTCTGAAACATTCAATAACATTGGTTCGATGCAGCCTTTGAACGATGAGATTGAGGTTGAAAGTGAAGAAGATAATGAAAGGAGGAGTGGGAGTGAAGGGACGAATGGTGACACTGGAGAAACACTTTTTGATTTGTTTAGGAGGACTTGATCTTGTTTCTCCTTCTTCTACCTTAGTGAAACGTGGTAAAGTTGTAATTACTTGACAGTGACATCCATAAAAGCACAAAAACAGAGTAAATTAATCTTTTGTTGGTAACAAGGTTCTCATTCTTGTTTGGTGCAGTTTTGTTGGCATTTAGTTTTTTGATAAGATTGTGAATTTGGACAAAACTATCAATGCATTAGCAATGAAATGTAGATGGTCATTGCATTACCTCTCTGCACACAACCCAATATGTAGACTACTCAAGTTAGCAAACAAATGTAGATGGTCAAGGTATGTGATGTGTGAAAAATGGAATCCTATCAGCTTGTCAAAACAATAGTAATGCTTATAACTATGACATTGTTGAGATCATTAATTATTTACTTACTCTCGATGTCCTTTACAAACAATTTCTTTCAATAGACTTTGATTCTCCCCAATTTTTCTACCTGATATAACAAAGATGAATATTAATTAAAATGAAAACAAGAAATATGTGACTTGGTGCAGTTTCGTTGGCTTTTGCTCTTTTGATAAGAGTGAGAAATTTGTACAAAACTATCAATGTAGATGGTCATGTAGACTATTCAAGTTAACAAAAAAAACAATGTGGGATGCAGATTTCAATGTCAAATGAGATAGCCTTGTAAAGATATATAATTTCTAAAATATAGATAAGCTTCATATGAGGTTTATTAATATAATTTCTCTCTCGGATGAAACTCTTGTTAGCCATTGGAAAATTCCCCAGTTTTCACAATGGTAGACAACACCTCACTCATAGCATTTTTGGCATATGTTTTATTCTCACGATCTTCAACTATATAACGTTCTTGCAAATGCTCCAGCATTACTTTCCATGCAAGAACCTTCTATTCCCTAATAATTGATTCATCCCCAAACTCAATGAACTTGATCTTTAGAACACCAGGATGCTGATTTGAACTAAGGGGTGTTGAGGATCCTGAAACCATCCATAGATATTGTCCGTCTTTGCTTTCCGAGATACTCGTTGGCATACATTTATCATCAAAGAATTTGACCACATGAAAAAACAATTATATTTTTAAATCGTGGTTCTCCTCTTCATTTTGCTAACAAGTGGTCATACATTTTTGAGAAGAGACTGTCATCATAGTTTAACAAGATTATTACTTGAAATATACATGCATTATACAATGTACAACCCAATGTAGACAACACTTCACTCATAACATGTTCAACATATGTTTTAATCTCACCAAGTATAAACTATTGTAACACTAACAGAGTAAAGCTTTTGTTGGCAACAAGTATCGTGTGCCTAGTATTTTTGGGGATTCAAAGCATGTTATTACTGTAAAATGTTTATGAAATTATAATTAATATACCAATAATAATATATTCAAACTTTTTATATACATTAATTTTAGCAAAGAGAAACAAAACTACAATAGTAAAAATTATATTAAATTATATAGGTGATTGTGAAAATTTAATCATTTATATATGTTAATTGAAATGTACAATGTAGATATGAAGTTATTGCGATAAACTAATATAACAAAGGTACATGATACAATACTAACCAAGAAAATATTTAATAAAGACGTAGTCAAAACAAGAAAAAAGAAAGAAAAAATCAGTCAAAATCTAGGATATTGCAATGATAAATAAATAAATAAAATATTATGAAACAAGTAGGAAAACAGATTAAATCATATAAAATAATAATTATTAATTAGTTGATTACTACAAATATAGGTGTAAGATATAGTGGTTTTGAGTGAAATAAAAAAATAAATGTTGAACTCTTATTTTCTTGAGTGAAATAAATTTGTTATGTCCATGCTCTTCTCACATAACAAATTTTAGAAGTTGTTGAACTCCTAAAATTTGTTATGTGAGAAGAGCATGAACATCACACTTTTTCTTAAGTCTAGGGCTCTAGGCCTAACAAACCCACTCAGAGAAGAGTTCTTCTGTTTCATCATCGCTGCAACTAACATGTTTCTATTGCCAATTTTTGTGTTAGGTTTTAATGATGTAACCTTTGTGAAGACAAAGGAATCTGCTAGCAAAAAGAAATCCTGCTGGATTAATAGGAAGCTATAGTGTTTGAGATGAAAGGGAAGAGATAAAAGAAAACTATCCAATGCAATAGCAATCAAATGTAGCTGGTTGCTGCATTATCTCTCCACATCTGGTACTCAATTTAACAAACCCCAAAATTTACAGCTAAAAATAGACCATTGTACTGGTTTTATAACATTAGTACATTTATATACCTTTCTATATTAAAAAAAAAAAAAAAAATTAATTATACTAGTGAAGAAGAGAAAAAGAATAGCACTACCCTTAAAATCCTCCAAAATGACGAAGAAAAAGGGGAAAAGAGAATAACATGAGAATGTCGACATATTAGCTAAGTATAGACAAAGCTTGAGAGACAAAGTTTGTATCGCGTCAGGCTCTCATCAATCTTGAGCTGCCACTGAGCGAGCCTAAACTGCTGACAATGTCGACACTCTTTCACTCTTCTTGTCTCCAACTTTTCGATTTCTCCTATTTTAAAAAAAGGCTCAGCTTTCTGCTCATTGATCCCGAGGAGGACGAAGAAGAATATACTCTCTTTTGTTCCCCATGATCATCGTCGATGTTAGTCTCTCTTTCATTTTTATAATCTGATATTATCATTTAAATTCCGGAATCTGATACTGGGAATTCTCTTAAACTGGTCCTTAGCTTCTTTGGAAATCGTTTCCTCTATACTTGTTTGGTGGATCACGAACAGATTCTCTCTCAGGTATTTCATCGAACACCTTATCTGCGTTTTTTTGGTGAGATCGCCATTGATTGATACATTACGAAGCTGTGATTTTTCTGAATTGGGTTTCTCTTTTGATGTATGGACTGTGGAAACAACGGAAAAAGAGTCCATTTTGCAGATAATTCCTTCCTCAACAATGGATTCTTCCAAGATCCCCTGTGACGCTGGCGAATCTGACCTCTGCAGAGACGATTCAGCTGCCTTTCTACTCAAATTCGTAGCCATTGCCTCCATTTTCCTCTCTGGAGCAGCTGGTGTAGCCTTACCTCTAATTGGCAAGAACCGGAGGTTTCTTCAAACAGAGGGGAACCTCTTTGTAGCTGCTAAGGCCTTTGCAGCTGGTGTGATACTAGCAACAGGCTTTGTCCATATGCTTGATGGTGGCACTGAGGCTCTGACCAATCCTTGTTTGCCTGATTTTCCGTGGTCCAAGTTTCCCTTTCCTGGGTTCTTTGCAATGGTGGCTGCTTTGATTACTCTGCTTGTTGATTTCATGGGGACACAGTATTATGAGAGGAAGCAAGAGAGGAGTGGTGATGAGGCTGCTGCTGCTAGTGAAGCTTCTGCTGTTGGTGTTGAGTCTGGTCGTGAAGAGTCGTCTGTTGTTCCTGTAGTTGTTGATAGAGTGAGTGATAGTAGTAATAAAGTGTTTGGTGAAGAGGAAGGTGGTGGGATGCACATTGTTGGTATCCGTGCTCATGCTGCTCACCATAGACATAGTCACTCTAATGGCCTTGGTACATGCGATGGACATGGACATTCACACGGACATGGTCATACGGATGTCGGAAATGGAGCTAGGCATGTTGTTGTCTCTCAGGTTTTAAGTCTTCTTGTTACTCCTTTACTCAAACATTATGTTAAAGATTGTGTCTAAAAGTATTTTGATCTTTTTACAGATATTGGAGCTAGGGATTGTATCACACTCAATCATCATCGGTTTATCACTCGGAGTATCACAGTCTCCATGCACGATCAGGCCTCTAATAGCAGCCCTATCATTTCACCAGTTCTTTGAAGGGTTTGCTCTTGGAGGCTGCATCTCTCAAGCAGAGTTTAAGAACAAGTCCGCGACCATAATGGCTTGCTTCTTTGCACTAACAACGCCTGTAGGGATCGGGATTGGAACTGCAGTGGCTTCTTCTTTTAACTCGCATAGCCCTGGAGCTCTGATCGCCGAGGGGATACTTGACTCGCTCTCGGCTGGGATACTGGTGTACATGGCTCTGGTGGACCTAATCGCAGCTGATTTTCTAAGCAAGAGGATGAGTTGTAATGTTAGGCTTCAAGTTGTGTCTTATGTAATGTTGTTCCTTGGTGCTGGACTTATGTCAGCGCTTGCCATTTGGGCGTAGCTTTCGTAGATTGCATGCTATTGATTTTCCGAATAAATATATGCCCTTCTCTACTTTTTGCATTGATTCATATAATATATAGACTTTAGAGGAATATGTTGAAAAACAATGATGTGAAAATTGAAAACTAAAATTTGTGATCCAGTAATCTTATTAAAGGGTGAGCTCAAAACAGCAAACTTCAGAGAAAACAACAAAAATATGCAAAAAAAAAAAAAAAAACTTTAGGGCGTGATCCCTACCTAGTATTCAACAAAAAAGGGTACACACGAGTTTATGAGAATAAAGAAAAATGGTGATAAACGCACAAGTTTTATACAACATATTTGTGGCCACAATTAGTATTATAACAAACCACTAGATTTTTTACGGATACTATTTTTGTTGTTTTATCTACGGATGGATCGATAAGTTTTTTGTTTTGATAATATAAAAGGTCACAAAATCAAGATCAAATTATTATGCAGACTAGACCATGACCCGCCCGACGGGACGGGTGTTTTGTTTTCTTTTAATTTTTAAGTTTATACTAAATAATGTAAAATAAAATGAAGTATCAATTAAATGGTTACAAATTACTTATGAGTTTTATTTTGACAGAAGAATACCGAAAAGTTTGTTGTTTGATCCGCGCAAGTGTTTGTTTTTATATATTTTATAAGTGATAATATATATTTCTAAACTTACCCATTTAAATAATTGTTTAAAATGACATTTTAAACACACAATTTTATAGTTTATATTGAGTAATTTTATTTTATCTTATAAACTATCATTGTGTCATACTTAATCTGACTCGTATATCTGCACAAATGTTTTTATTTTATTTTATAGATCAAATTTTATGATAATGTATAGCTAAATTTTTTTATTTACTATTTAAAATATATGGTCCTATATATTTCTACTTTTTAACTTTTATTATTTTGAATTTACCTTGAACTATTATTTATATAAAAATATGCATAACATGATATGTTTATATTAATATTTTTATTATATATTATATAAATGTTTCTTTTTGTGACTTTTATTTTAGTTATTACTGATAAATAATAAAAATATAATTATATATTGAAAAAAATATTTTTCATTAACTATTTAAAGATATGTAGATAATTAATAAGAAAAAAAACCTAAAAGGTAGGTTAATTAATAATGGAATTAATTATTATGTATATGGAATTAGTAAAACAATTTCTATATAATTTATTATTTAATTACGAAAGGTATATATGAAAATAATTATTTTCATTAATTATTGTTGCCATAATTTCTTTTAGTTAAAATTTGATTTTGGAAATGCATTAATTAAAGTGAAAAGACAAAGAATCCTATAAGATAGGGTAATTAATATCTTCAGTGGCATAACATTGTAAATAATTAGAAAAAATCAGGGGTATTTTATATGGGTACTTCTCTTTTAATAATATAGATATGAAGAAATTTTTGTTTTATACTGTCTCATACAATTTTTTAATGTTTATAAATAAGTTAACAATGGTTGTACCTAAAATATGTATTTGAGAAAGATTGTATATTTAACAATTAAATGGTTCAATTTTTTTTTAGTTTTGTGATTAATTTTCTACTCAAAAATTTGACCCGTCTGATCCATAAAGAAAATATATTTTTGTAAGTTTTTTTTATAAATTTTAAAAAATAATCAGCCCACTAATGAAACTCATTAGTATATAATTTTTAGGTAAAAAAATAAACTATATTGTCATTGATAAAATAAAAATTTATTCATATCATTAAGGGTATAATTGGAAAACATAAAAAAATCATTAAACAAAATGTTTTGTTTTAATGGTATTGACTAGATTTTGACTCGTGCTTTCAAAACGCGGGTAATATACTATTTAATCCTGAAGATTCAGATCCTCGAATTGGGTCTTGTCGGGTTTAGATCTTTCGGGTCCTAGAAATTTGTATTCATACTTATAGTTTTTCGGGTCAGTTTCGGATCGGGTCTTGTCAGGTCCGTTGATTCGGGTATATTGTCGGGCCGGTTCGGGTATTTAGGAACCGAAAAAATCCAAAAGATTCAAACTGGATCTAAAAACCCAAAAAATATCCGAAAACTCTAAAATTCCCGAAAAACCGTAAAAATATCCAAAAATTTATCCAAATCAGGCCTAAAAATTCAAAAATACCTGGAATTTTACCCGATACCTTAATTATATTCTTTTGAAAATCTAAAATTTTACCTGAAAACCTAATATTATACCCGAAAATCCAAATCTAAAACTTTAAAAAATACCCGAATTATCAAAAATATACCCAGTCACCTAAATATACCTAATATATAAAATAATTCGTGGGTACTTCGGATACCCGATCAGGTTTCGAGTAGGACTCATACCTGAACCGAGACCCACGGGTCCAAACAAAAAATATCCAGCAGATACTTTAGCATGGATCCGAACTCAGACATGAACCTATATTTTTGGGTCGATTCTTGTTTGGATCTACGTAAAATGCCCATGCATAATTTTGTTGACGAATTTGTAAACTTACAAATATATAATTTTTTGTATAGATATCAAGCCCATTTCGTTGTAAATAAATGTTAAAATTATTGAATTTTTAATAGGTGATTTTCAGTTGGGCTTTCAATGGGCAATTTAACTTAAAATAAATAAAGCAGAATGTTTTGTAATTTTCTTAAAAATCAGAGACACAACCCCAAAAGATATTCTACTTTAATAGTATAGATTCAATTTTTTTTGGAAGTATTTAAATCTCTGTTCTCCATCTCTTCTTTCTCTAAAACGTTTTAGTGTTGTTTGGATGGCAGTAACATTCTCCTCAGTGCCATGTCTACGGGCAGCCGCAACACCCCGAGGGTAATATTCCAACTCCTGCAATAAACAAATGGGAGGTTATTAATTAGACCAATGACAAAATATATTGATGACACAAAAAATTTAAAGTCCAATCGATGATACGTACTTCAAGTGTATGTTCTTTACTGTTGAGATGCGTCATAAAACTCTCAAAGCTTTGGATATCAAGGCTGCATGTTGAGCAATGCAAGTCAGCTTCACCTTCTTCCCTCCACTTCTCAACCTCAACTACCTCTGAGAATATGTTTAGGAGAAAATTATTAAAAAAAAATTACTAGTAAGTTCAGAAACAGCTTTAACTTTTGGTTTAGCTATACAATGAGATAGATAGAGAAGACAAACACCTGAATCCTGCTCTCTTGCCATCCATTCTTTCCAGCCGAGTACTGCACACTCCACACTATACATTAAGCATCTACCGAGAAAACACCTATCAACGTTGTAACCCATCCTGAATAACGTGTTTTCAGTTTCATAGAAGATTGGCTCATTAGTTAAGAGGACTAAATTAGCCGGAGAGGGATTAGACCAGGTCCACTTAAACAAATCGCTCGCAAGGCCGTCGATATCTGTTTCATAATAAACTAAAAAGACTTTGAGTGCCAATATTCCCCATTAATCAATGAAAATTAAATTTAAGGATATATGAGAAGATATTATTGACCTGTGGGGATGTGATGAAGAGAGATTCCACTGGCATTGACTTGTCTCAGGAGATCATGAGGGACTTCTGTTAGTATCCCAACGGCATTGATAGTGAGAGGACCAAAGTACCCTTCTTTCTCCAACTTTGTTTTTATACACGGACCGATGAAACGAACATCAGCGTTAGAGGGACCCGGGCACCTGTTTATGTCCCACCACACGCATGTTACAGCCTCAGCAAAACCAGGCTTTACCATACTACTTAGATGATTTTAACTCCTTTTTTTAATCAAAACCACCAAATCGCCGTAATTAATTAGGTCTAGAAGAATTGATAAAAAGCTCGATTGTTATCGAAACTGAAACGTACAGAGAGAAAGAGATGGATCTATCACGCTCTAGGGAAGGAAATCTAACATATAGATTTATACAAAAAAATTTATATATCTTTCCTTTTTTTTATTAATGCTTACTGTCTTTAAGATACCTATATTAGTTAGTATATATCATTAACAAAACAATATTATTGAATAAAAACTAAATTGATAAGTTAATTTAATTTAATTTTAATCATTAGATATCTTATTATTACCTTTTTTTGTAAATTTAGTTTAGTGTTTTCCTTTTTTTTTATCAATTTTATCATTTTCCTTTTTTTTTATCAATTTTATCATATCTTATTATTACCTTTTTTTGTAAATTTTATATATCTTTCCTTTTTTTTATCAATTTTATCATTTTATAAGTTTAAATTAGTCAAACCAATGTTAATCAATACATATATACGGTTGAATTGAATTACTTTTATTCCAATATTTTCCTTTTTGTTGTATTTTAACTTTCCTTTTATTTCAATTCCACCAATTCTACAGAGCCTACATTTAACTTTTTGGTTTATGCATAATAAATCTGGTATATATACATTAAGAAGATACAAAGTATTTATCTAGCTAGGGTTTAGAGTATTGTAATCAAATTACAAAAAAACTCAGAGTCGCACCGATGGAGAACCGTGATCCCATATATGTCTGGTGGGACATCCAGAGCTGCAGACTTCCATACGGCTACGAACCTCTCCGAGTCCATGTGGCCGTGAAGTCAGCTATGAGGAACCTAGGGTTCTTCGGTCCTATTGACTATGTGGCTGTTACTGTAAAAGGATGGTCATATGGTGACACCCTAAACAGGATCGAGACAACTGGGTTTAGAATTAAGCGTTATTATGCATGGCAGTCGTGCAATATGTTCATTAGGAACAACATTAGCGAGTGGATGCATTCCCACGAGCCTCCAGCTGTTGTTGTAATTATCAGCTGTGATAAAGGTTTAGGATCCTTAGTAAACCACTTGAGAGTTGTTGATGGTTTCAAAACATGTATCATCTATGTCCCAGCCTTCACTTCTGAGAGACTTATAAGCATACCCAACTTCTCTTTGCTTTGGTCTGATGTTCTGGCCAACGCTCCTCTTGTGGATCCAAGAGAATATGATTTACCTCTGCGTGAGGTTCGGGCTGAGGCTATATATGTTCACCCATCGCAGAAATCTGTGGCTGTCACTGTTGGGACGGATCTTCGTGTATTTGATCTTATGTAAGACCCATCTCTATTTTTCTCTTTATAATATAGTTTCAACCAAATTTCTTTTTAATTTTATTCCAGTTCTTTTTTATAATTTTGTTTAATTTGTTATGGGTTTAATTTTATTCCAATTTTTTTTTGTTTAATTTTATTCCAGTTTTTTTTGTTTAATTTTATTCCAGTTTTTAAAATTAAAAAGAAATTTAACCAAATTTCTTTTTAATTTTATTCTAGTTTTTTTAAAAGTTTTACTCCAGTTTTTTTTTTGTTTTTAATTAAACCAAATTTCTTTATAATTTTGTTTAATTTGTTATGGGTTTGATTTCAAAAATCAACTCTGTTCTGAAATTACTTCAGTTTAGGAAAATGAGAAATAACACATAAGAGATGTTCTGCTAATTTTTTTTTGCATAATGTTCTGCTAAACTCGCTCATTGGTTTCTTTGAAGTTTGAATTAATCCATGTAACCTTAAGTCACGTCACAAAATGTAAAATCTTTAAAACTTTAGGATAAGGTAGGAATGTTCAGTTATATCTATCTATTTTGTATTTTAACTGATTGATTTAAATGTTAAATTCACAGAGAGAAGCGTCGAGTTACTCTGATGGGTAAATCTCGTAGGTCTTGCCGTAAATACTCCACTAATACTAGAGTTGTTCGCTATGGTGCAAGTGGAAAGCTTTTTGTGTGTGCTAGCAATGACGGGTGGGTTAATATTTGGTCTGCAGAGTCTTGGCACCGTCTTTACACCATGTAAGTTATTAGTAACACCAAACCGTAAGCATTTTTTGCAACATTGTTGGTAGTTTTGTCATTTTTTTAATTTTTTTTGTAAATGCTAGATATCCATTGATATCCTCTCGTTGGACATGGACTAAGAGGGTAGCTCTTGCAATAGCTATAAGAAGCAATGATTCACATGTTTGCTATGCGGATACCCGTGGTGATGTATGGGTGGTGGAGCTTGATGGGATCGATGAGTGTAAAGTTTCACCTTGTAATAAGACTGCTCGACTGCTTTTCCGTTCTAGTAGTATTATTACTAGCCTGGTAAGTTTTCTTGTAAAAAGCTGCTCAAGTTTTACTTTTACTTTGTCACTGAGTCTATCTATGTTCATAGGATTTTTCACCTGATGGTCGATACATCCTTAGTGCTGATCTGGACTTCAAGATAAGGGTAAGCTAGTCACATCCATTAATGTACAGTGTTGTTACAATATTCCTTTTCTGCTTCTATAGTGATCTGATTACGTTTGCCATGTCTAAGGTGACTGTTTTTCCAAAGAATCCTCTACGAGGAGCTCATGAAATACAGAGTATTTGTCTTGGACATAAAGCGTAAGTGATTTTAAAACAAGCTACATGTTACGTAAAAGGCTATGTAATATTTTGTCTTAAACCCTGTATAGGTCCATTACATGCATAGCCTTTGTCTGGAATTCAGAGCTTAATCAAAGATACCTCTTGTCTGGAAGTGAAGATACAACCGTAAGTATCTTTAATACATTCTTCACTTATGTATCTTAAATAATTGTTTCTCATTTGGTAACAATGCTAAATTATTAGGTTCGGCTGTGGGATATTTCATCTGGGTCTCTTCTCCACACATGTGACATTAGCACAATGGTAAAAAAAATCTCAAGTCTAAATTGTTTCGTCAATTTTTTTTACATAGAACAATTGGTTAAGTATATTTGTTGACGTTGTTAGAGAAATAAATGTTTTGCTTTTTGTTTTGTTTATTGAAGGGTGAATATACTGAGTCCAATGAATCTGAGCCACCGGGTCAAGTCACAATTACTGATATGTGCACTATACCAAATTCCACTCTTGCAATAGTGGCTATTCAAAGGTACCTCAAAAATTTTAGGCCCCCTTATCAAATTACTCAAATGTCTCATTACTTACTACTACTAATGTAAAATGCAGCTTTCCAGGATTGTTATTGTTAAGCTGTACTCCCTCTATCTCTATAAAAAAGGTATATGATTATGACACTTAATTAGTAGAAAATTAAAAAAAAAAAATCAGCAGAACCAGAATTTTAGCTGTGTAGTTGATCTTTTAGGTGATCCGTATCCCTGGAGAAAGTTTTATCCCCACAAGTATCTCTTTAAGCGGATCTATGAAGTTGCTATGGATGGTGTCGGGAGCATTGAATCCACCTCGCTCAAACCATCCTGTTTTTTCGAGGGTTAAAGTCATCTCATGCATTGAGGCTGCGCTATATTCAATCCTTGGAGATGACCAGATTCCTGGAGGGCAAAAACTGTTGGAGCAATTGCAACGTAAAGTTCCAACTGAAGACTGTGGTGAGTGCTCTAACAGAAGCTGTGAGAGGAGCAACAATGTCTAGGGTAATGTGATACTTGTGGACCTAATCGCAGCTGATTTTATAAACAAGAGAATAAGATGTGATGTGAGGTTTCAAGTTGTGTCTTTATGTAATGTCGTTTCTTGGAGCTGGAAATACTCTCTCCCACAACTTACATTGATTCGTATATAATATAAAGTTTTAGGAGAATATGTTGAAAACCGATTACAATAAATTAAAATCTGTGACCATAGATCTTAAAAGGTGAGCTGACTGAAAAAATCTAATGCAGATAAACAAATGAAAGTCAGAATGATGATTATATCCAATTGCTCCTACAGGAAACCATATTCGATGATCTAAGTGATAGTTAAGTTCATATGAAAATGAACAAGGAAAAAAAGAAGATTACAGGTGGTAGTAGTAGTAGTAGTATATTACAAACTCGATTCTAATCTAACGAGAACAATTCACTTACCAAAAAGGGAGAAAGTAGAAACTAAGAAGAAGACACAAGCCCTCATTGAAGGATTCTCCAACTTCATCTTAATTTCCCTCTCTACTGTGTTTATATAATATATCATCCTCACTGGATGTTTTTTTCTTCCTTTTCGATTAACCATCTAGTCGCACTTGATGTTTCTATAGATTCTCCTTACAAACAGATTTGATCCCAAGAATCCAACAGCTCCTGCAAATTTTTCAGAGGAAGATATTTTTTTTAATCAAAGCGTTAAGCACTAAACCCTGGTTTTGAAGAGAGTGGAGAGAGAATGAGCTCACCGCAGAGGATTCCAAGGCCAAGACAGAACATCATGGTGTATCCAAAGTAGAAGCTTGTCTGAAAGAATCCAGACATCTTGGTCTTTACGTAGTAGTAATAGATGGAGTATAAGTAGACATAGACAGCCGTTGAAGCAGCTGAGCAAAACGAAGTCCACTGCCAGTGATAGTTCTCTGCATTCAGCAGGAAATAAGTTCCCACGATTGTCACACAGACCGTCACTATGACTAGAATCACAAATACCAGAAGCATGAATCCATATACATAGTACACCTGTCAAAACCAAAACCAAAAAGAGGTGTCAGGGATAGCCAATCAAATTTTACTCCTTACCGTGATAAGCCAAGACACAGCGTGGGTCTACTTGAAGAAGTTCAGATATATGTCTAATACAACAAGCCTGGGTCTTAATGTAGCAGATTGTAGCTGTTTTGAGTTGGCCAGATAGCATTTAGTGAGGGCTGGATTTTCTAGGGCTTGGTCAATCAAGCCTCTCTGGTTTGTTCAATTTGTAAAAGAACCAGCAGTTATGTAGATTTGTTCTTATCAAAGCGATTATTTTTACCTTGTAATTCCAAAACGATGTGAAGACAAAGTACATCTCGATGAATATGCTTCCAAATGGTAGCAACCCTCCCATCAGGGAAACAACCGATGGAGTTAAGTACCATTTCTTCTCAGGGATTGGACGTGGAATGGTCTTTACACGGCATGGATTGTTTGGAGCACCGCTCCAGTTTCTTCCAACGACTGTCCCGAGGAGAGCTAAGGGGAACGAAATGAAACCCCAGATTACAAACACAACCACCATTGTTCCAAACGGAATAGCCGCAAGGGAACCATAGAATATGGCAATTGTGTTTAGGAGAAAGCCGATTCCAAAGCACAAAAAGGGGAACAGAGAAGCCGTGAGGACCATGCACTTGATCCAATGTTTACCTGAAACAATCAGGCATTAAAATGAAATTATAAAAATAAGAGGGGAAAGTAACACTGGAGAGAACTGCCAAGATAATTAAGTCATACCCCCGCTTCTTGAGTACATTCCACCACTCACATAACCAGAGATAAAGGAAGTTAGAGCATAGCAAACTATGAACGTTGTGACGATTGCTCCTCTCCTGAAATAATCAGAATACGCGGTCAACAAAATCCAGCCAACACAAAAAACTTACTTGCAAGTGAAACGAAGAGTGTCGTACATACCCAACATAGAGTGTCCCCACGATGGCCATTAATATGACAAGAAGGACAAGCAACGCCAACTGCGCACCTGTGCCAACAACAGCTGAGAGAAGAACTAGACTCCATGGTGGTCTAAACACATCCCCATGCACAAGTTTCCAGCCAGATTCTTCATTTGCATCCCGTTCCTGTTATCATCAATACCGATGTCAGAAATGGTTTTACAACCTCAAATATAAAGAAACCAATGTTGGACAAACTGCCAAGAGAGTAATAACACAAAGCAAAATTTGCAGCTATGACAAATAATAGCTGAGGAAACATACCAAGCTCTCAAGATCATCATCTTCACGAGCATACTTTGCATAATCATTTCTGAGAGTCCTCATCAATATCATCGAGACCAAACCAGTGAGAAAAATAACCATCATGAACGAGTTGAATATGGAGAACCAATGGATCTGCAAAACGAGAAAAACTCTTAGAAGGGCTTGAACAGACATCTTGAAAAGATGAACTTTTGATAAAAACTGTTAAACAAGCCGGAACGGAGACTATCAGTATGAAACTGTGAACAAATCAAAATCAAAGACAATAGCTGAAGTTAACATAGCAAGCTATAAGTTACCTGGTGCTCAAAGAATGGATAATCAAGATATACGTCAAAACGGCGAGGAAATGTGATATTTGTCGAAATCCATTGCACAGAATAAGTCAGGTCTACTGTCCTCCCTGCTTCCAGTGGTACTGGGTTGTCTTGAGTGAGATTAACATGAATGATCTACAAAAATAAATAACTACGGTCAATCATGGAATCCATATTATTGCTTAATGGCGTAGCAACAACCAACCTGGTCTTTGTTGTATTTGACAACAATGTTCTTATGTGTGTAGAGGACATGTTTGGCGTTTTCACTATTTTTTTCAAGATGCAGCTCACCCACGAAGCCTACAGTAGGCGATGAGACAATATTAACACTATCTAAAACTACAACAGAAAATGATTAAGTTTGGATATTCAAGTAAATATACAAAAGCTCATACCCCATAAAGGCAGATCATCTGAAGTTAGATCCATCCGGTAAAAGTCCACAAAAAAAAGTCGAGAAAAGTAACGTTAGCAATTCAAAGAAGTGACTTTTCTTGGTCTATTACTATGAGCGATAGTAGAAGTGACATTCAGCAGAAATAATGTACAAAACAGTACAAGGAAATGTGAAAACATACCCATAAAGAATTCAAACCAGTAGCTAGATTCGATGGCATCTTTAAAATGTTGAACCTTAGCTTCATCGAGTTCAAGCTTACAGATAACGTTTCTGTCAACATCCTCTGCCCAAAATAAAACCAGAAAAACGGTATTTAAGAATTAGAACGCAAGTAATACGTCAAATACGGTAAGCATAAGAGCTAAAAAAAACATACTCAAGAACTTAATAGGGATCTCGCTGTCAATGAGCTCATTCCCACCAAGAACTTCACCAAGACCACCCCATTTGTGAACATCGTTTTGAGAGGGACGGCAAAAGGGAAGACTGTAATAGTTGTATGTTTCTTGTGGATTGTTATATGGGCCTACTTTGTTTACCCATAGGGTAACTTGCTCCTCAGCTTGATACTGGAAAAGAAAAGGAAAGCAAAAAAAAAGCATTGACTTAGTAGAAACGAAACGACATGTTCAAATGCGTTTCTCTGATTAAAATAATTTGTCAGATCATAACATAACATTTTCAAGTAAACGAGAATCTCAATTACATAACTGATTCATAAATCTTCCTAGGATTGCAATGAAGAAGCAACTCGATGGAAGCTCGAGGATCCGACCCGTCCGAAAACGAATAGATCCAAGAACGAAAAAAACTCAATCACAACCACCATGAGATCTACAGACACGGAAATGCAGGCACGGGAGAGATCCGATTTTAACCTTGTGATCCGAATCGGAGGCGAGGGCAATTGAGAGAAGAGAGACGAGGAGAAGCAATACGGAGACGGTGGAGGAGGAGGAAGACGGCATCGCGAAATGCGGCGGAAGATCAGATCTGAGGAAGACGGAGACGGTGGTGGGGAATGCGTTAAACCAATGACTAAGCTCGATGATCGGATTTCAAATTTGGCGTATTGTTGAGAGATACAGTGTCAGCTCCTCTCTCGTTTCTCGTCGGCAGCGAGCGAGCGATCGAGAGAGAGAGCACAGTGAGCAACGAAGAGAAACGAGAGCGCACAGTACTGTTATTTGTTCGGCAGAGATGAAAGCTCAAACCTCTGTTAACTGGGCCTACAATCATGAAGGCCCATTAAATTATTAAAACTCGTTGGATTGGGCCAATCATTTGATTGGGCCATTATGTCGAAACGAGGAAATGTTAAATCTTTTTAAAAAAGTTAATTAATATGTTAAAGACATTTTTTTTTATTACTTACTTTTGTTGTGTAAGACTTTAAATTTACCAAAATATGTCTTGTTCAACAATTTTGTATCCAAAATATTAAATGGACATAATAATATACGATTAATAATTAAATTCCCATAATAAACAAAAAATTGTTACTACATTTTACAAATATTGAGAGTTCAAATAATGCTCTTTATGATCTCAGTCACAATCGGATAATCTCACCTCAGCTCGCTTCTTTCCGATTTTCATCGGATCTCTGTTTCCGAGCAGATCTTGCAGGTAGAGTTTTGTCTAATTCGTCACTCTCGTTATGTTTTTTTTTTTTTCATGTCTATGGTTCTGTCTAATGATATTGTTTTGTTTCTCAGCATGGACAAAATAAGTGAGTTGCCTGATGAATTGCTGGTAAAGATAATAACTATGGTTCCGACCAAAGTTGCTATATCCACTAGCATCTTGTCTAAAAGATGGAAGTTTCTTTGGATGTTTTTACCCAAACTTAATTTCACTGATAAAGTTATTTATTACCATCCTCCAAACCCTCGACTTTGGGAGTTTATTGACAAGAATCTGCCATTACATAAAGCACCGGTCATTGAGAGCTTCCGTCTCAATTGTTCATTACATAAAGGGGAAGATATCAAACGATGGATTGAAATTGCAGTTTCTCGTTGTGTACGTGAGCTGGTTATTAACATTTCGTATGATGATGGTATAAACATATTACCCAACAGCTTTTATAACTGCAAATCACTAGTGTTGTTGAAACTCAGTTTTGTGGGTCTCATTGATGTTCCCTCCTCTATGGGTTGTTGTTTCCCCTCTCTTAAAACTTTGAAACTTAAGTATGTGAGTTACGCAAATGAAGCTTCTCTTCAACGGCTTCTGTCTGCATGTCCTGTTCTTGAAGAACTATTGGTGCACTTTGGGGAAGATATTATGGCAGAGTTCACTGTTATCGTCCCGTCTTTGAAGAGTTTATCAATCTTTATACCTATGGTTTCCCATGATCTACGTGGGTATGTGATAGATACTCCTTCTCTTGAGTATTTCAAATTTGAGGACTTGGGCGAACTTTGGCACGACGTTGAGATTGAGAATATGCCTAAGCTGAGGGAAGCATGTCTCTTAGATACACCTGGTCTCGAGAGTTTTATTGAATCCATCACATCTGTGAAGCGTCTTACAATATGTCCTGCACAGGTAAATCATCAATCAGTTTGTTTTCTTAGAGAGTTTTTATCAAACTTCATTTATGGGAGAGAGTTGTTTTGTAAGACTTTGTTGCAGGACCAGTATGGTGATGGTTTTGTGTTCAACAAGCTTGAACATCTAGAGCTATGTGGATGCAGGAAGGAACCATTGAATCTCCTTTCCCAATTGCTCAGTGTTTCTCCTAACTTACGAGTATTAGATATCTCCGTGATAAAAGTAAGTTTCTTCTGTCAAACTATTTTTTTTTTTGTGTTTGGGAGTTTAAATATTATTACGGCTGATTGGTCTCAGGAGCATAAGGAGAATGAAGTTCATTATTTTAGAGATGGACTTTGCTGGAATCAACCGAGTCTTGTTTCTGAATGCCTGTTGTCGACTCTACAAATCTTCAACTGGTCAAAGTACGTTGGGAGACCATACGATAGCTGATCCAAGGGAACAGGATGTTTCGAATTTTACGATGATCACGGAGTTGGCACTTTCTTGTTGGGAATGAATCACATTGAGACATTCAGAATGTTTTCAGTTATAACAAGAAATCCAAAACTCTGTATTTAGTGAACATAAGATGTCAGTCTTGTGAGTGAGGAACTATGAAACTTTGAACACGCGGGTTTGTTGAATGGATCGAAGTCGTACGTTTTTTTTATTTGGTTTTTAATTTATGTTACTTAACTTACCGTAACAATAACAGTAATATGTAACAAGAAAATACAACTTTGATATAGCGATGGAACACACAAAAAAGCTTCTTTTTTCACCAATAGATTTGTTCGGCCTCGTCATATCCATCTAAGCCGTTATAGTTTTTTTTTTTTTCTTAAATTTGCGTTTGAAACATGTTAACTGAAAGAACAGTACTGCTATTCTATGGCAGAGATGCTAATTGTATCGCTTTGGAGGTAATAAAAATTGATGAAATCTTAAAAAAACTCAGCTAATTGGGCCTAAAATCATGAATTAGTTTATAGGCCCATTCAAACTTAAAACTAAGTTTATTGGGCCATTGAAACTGTTTCTTCTCTGCTCTACATAAATGCGAAAAGCCTATGAAAGTTTACTAAATTCGATAATTAAAGTGTTTTTCTACATAACATATGATACCTTTTAATTTTTCTCGATTTTATGATTGAGATCTTACATTTTTAGTAAAGTCATTACCAATCAGATCCACAGCTTATTTCTCATTAACTCTCAGTTCATAATCTTCTGTAGGGGTGGGCACTTTATCTGATACCCGAACTCGTACCCGAACCCGACCCGAAATATCCGAACCGAAATCCGAACCGAAGTAGCAAAATACCCGAACGGGTATTGAGTTAAGAGATTTTGGATATCCGAACCCGAACGGGTATTACCCGAACCCGAACGGATATCCGAAGATAACCGAACATATGTATATATACCTATTTATTCTTAGTTTATTTATCTCATTTTATTAAAAATATTTATATTAAGGTTATATATAATTTAAGATCAGATAATATACATATAATTGTAAGAAAATAATAATTTATTACTCATTTAAAATGCATATTAAGCTTCTTATTTCCTATTTTAAACAAAACTAGATCTCGACCCGCGCAACCGCGCGGGTATTTGTTTTCATTTATTTTTATAGAAACATTTTGTTTTCAATTTTTTTTAAACATTAGTTTTCAAATCTAAATTAATATATATATATATGAGGTGTGTATATCAATTTTAAAAAGATAATAATTTTATCATATATTAATTTTTAATCGAATATTTTGTTTCAAATCTTTACATATATTTGTATATTCTTCTATATATATATATATATATATATTGTTTTGGATTATTATTTCATTATTGAAGGCGTAAATATATGTAAAGATTGGTAAAATATTGTTTTACTCTCATCTTTAAAGATATTGTAACATTTCTAAAATTTAGAAAGTTTAACAAAAATAAAAATTTTAGCTTCATATTACGGAGTAAATAATTAGACATTTAGTTTTTTTTCTTAAATAAACTATATAACTTAAAAAATGTTTTCATTGGTTTAAGGTAGTATAGATTAATCAATGTTAGAAAATGATTATTTCTGTTATTTTAAAAAATAAACTATATGATTTTGAAAATTAACATCGACAAATATATGAATAATTAAGTTATGAAGGTATACTTTACAACACTAAATTATATATCTATTTAATTTAAACATGTGTTTTATTTTACTATCTATAAATTTAATGGGTTATCCAATTGTTGTTAGNATTAATCAATGTTAGAAAATGATTATTTCTGTTATTTTAAAAAATAAACTATATGATTTTGAAAATTAACATCGACAAATATATGAATAATTAAGTTATGAAGGTATACTTTACAACACTAAATTATATATCTATTTAATTTAAACATGTGTTTTATTTTACTATCTATAAATTTAATGGGTTATCCAATTGTTGTTAGCCCAATAAAAAAATTTGGTAAGCCCAAAAGCCCAAAATTATAGGTACTAATTTTAAGGTTATTAATTAATGACTGAATAATATTATGTGATAAATTTTAGTAGATGGTCCATTTTAAAATATAACACATAAAGTGAGTTATGACTTCTGTTTTAATATAATAGATTTGCATCCAAAATTCAAAAATAACAACCAAAATAATGAATTTTATTTTCAATAATTTATCTTCAAAATTATTAATCGTCTAACTTATTAAACATTTTTTAAAACAGTTAAGTTAATAGTTAAATTTTAAATACATGAAACTTAAGTAATAAAGAATTTGAAATTTTCTTTCGAAATCTAAATATCCGAACCCGACCCGAACTAAAAATATCCGAACCCGACCCGATATGTAAAAATACCCGAACGGATTCTATACCCCAATACCGAAAACCCGAAATACCCGATCCGAACCCGAACGGGTACCCGAACACCCACCCCTAATCTTCTGTATTAAATTAGTAAACTATGTAATTAGGAAACCAAAAAAAATAAGAAGCGTGTTTCCGTACAACGGCGCTCGAATAAAGCATGATGAAAGGCGTGGTAACATCTGGGTCCCACCGTATTAACAAAGTTAGTGATCCTATTAATTAATTATTTAATCAAACAAAAAAGGAAGCATCATGAGAGAGAGGGAGATTCTTCAATCTTCAATCATCTCCATTTCTCACACATCATCATCATCATCATCATATCACTTTATTATTTGAATAAACAAAAAAAAAACATAAATTCGAAACAACAAACAAAAAAAAGACGATTCTTTGCTTTGCCTTCAAATCTCATCAATCACCACCTTCCATCCTCGTTACCTCTTTCCTTTTTTTTTTTTTTTTTTAATTATCTCACTGTCTCTGCAAATCGCGAGATCTCGGAATCGCATCATTGATTGGCTCTTATCAAGGATTTCGCGTTAAATTGCCGTGATTTCTAGCTTCTAGAGCAACTGAATTTTGAACGACGAGGATTCGGGAGATTTTTTTTTTTGGTTTGCGTGTTTGTAATTAGGACTGTTTGTGTGTTGTTGAGAGGAGCGAAGATGGAGAAGTACGAGCTCGTGAAAGACATAGGCGCTGGGAATTTCGGAGTGGCGAGGCTCATGAAGGTCAAAAACTCTAAAGAGCTTGTTGCCATGAAATACATCGAGCGTGGTCCTAAGGTCCGTTTCACTTCGACTAGCTTTAGCTTCATAGGCATTTAAAAAGATTAGCTTTTTAGTTTATTGTTGTTGTTGTTTTTTTGGGGATACAGATTGATGAGAATGTGGCAAGAGAGATCATTAATCATAGATCACTTCGTCATCCTAATATTATCCGATTTAAGGAGGTTTGTTAGTTTTCCACATGTGTTCTCTTCGATATGATGAAAAAGGATATGTAATGAAGTTGATGATTTGTTTAATCACAGGTTGTGTTGACTCCTACTCATCTGGCTATTGCTATGGAGTATGCTGCTGGTGGTGAATTATTCGAGCGTATTTGCAGTGCTGGAAGATTCAGTGAGGATGAGGTCAGTTTGTTATTTAAAAATTGTGGCTTTTTTTTTTGCTACTATGCAAAGTAATATCTAGGATTAGTATTTTTTTTAGAGCTGTATGGTCTTTCCATTGATTAGGAAAAAGAGAAAACATGTGATTCTTCTTTATTTGTTATTGCGTGTTTAACAATTGGGATATACAGTCTAATCCTTCTTTCTCTTTTCCAGGCGAGATACTTCTTCCAGCAGCTTATATCAGGTGTTAGCTATTGCCATGCTATGGTAAGCCAAATATATTTAGGAAATTTCTAATCGCTTAGATGTCTTAGATCAGGACTACTTATCGATCCCTGTGGTCACTTTGTGCCCATTTTTTTATGCAGCAAATATGCCATAGAGATCTGAAGCTTGAGAATACACTCCTTGATGGAAGTCCTGCTCCACGTCTCAAAATCTGTGATTTTGGTTATTCCAAGGTCTGACTCTATACAAGAACTACCAAATTTCTGCATTGTCTGCGAGATCCTCTCTTGTTCTTTCCCACTGTCGCTGACAGGTGATTTGTTTTTTTCTTCTTTCTGTAGTCCTCTCTATTGCACTCAAGGCCCAAATCAACAGTCGGAACTCCAGCATATATTGCACCAGAGGTCCTTTCTCGTAGAGAATATGATGGCAAGGTAATCTTATTGCTATTTGAGTCTTGGCAAATCAAGCATCATGCTCAATGCAATGAAGTTTACCTAAACCAATGAGTTCTCATGAAACTGTCATGCTCACTTTTTTTCTTTCTGAACAATAAATTTGTGGATGTTGGTAAGATTTTTAATTTCTTTTCTCTTCTTCTTTCAGATGGCTGATGTATGGTCTTGTGGTGTAACTCTTTATGTCATGCTTGTTGGAGCATACCCATTCGAAGATCAGGAAGACCCTAAAAACTTCAGGAAAACAATACAAGTAAGGTTTCTCTTTTCATCCATGTGTCTGCATATCTCGCACCAAGTATGCTGCATCCTTCTCATCAGTGTATGATCTTGTTGTTATACAGAAAATCATGGCTGTTCAGTACAAGATCCCAGACTACGTCCACATCTCACAAGATTGCAAACATCTCCTTTCCCGTATATTTGTGGCCAATTCACTCAAGGTAATACATGAATCAATGAGCTCAAATGTTTATAAAAGATGGTGTTGTTTGACAATTGAGCTACGTTGTTGTTGTTTTGGCAGAGGATAACCATTGCGGAAATAAAGAAACACCCATGGTTCCTGAAGAACTTGCCAAGGGAACTCACAGAGACAGCTCAAGCTGCATATTTCAAAAAAGAGAATCCAACCTTCTCCCTCCAAACCGCTGAAGAGATTATGAAGATAGTGGATGACGCCAAAACGCCTCCACCTGTTTCCAGATCCATAGGAGGTTTTGGATGGGGAGGAAAGGGAGATGCAGAGGAGGAAGAAGAGGTGGATGAAGAGGAGGTGGTGGAAGAAGAGGAAGACGAAGAAGATGAATATGACAAGACTGTAAAGGAAGTACACGCAAGTGGAGAAGTGAGAATCAGTTGATTTTTTTTTTTGGTTTTTGTAAGAAAGAAAGTTGTCGTTGGTTTTGCTGAAACTTAAAATTCTCGTTTTTTTTTTTAATTTTGTCTTTGCCAATTACAATGCTTTGGCTTTTGGTTTTGAAGATTTGTAAAATTTGGTATAAGAAGAAGAAGAACAAACATAGGTTTGAGTATGAGTCCATTGCATCATTGACCTCAACTAAATATCTTTTATTTTTGTGTATTTCATGAAAGTTAATTTTCAGGATACAGAACTAGGGCTGGGCGTTCGGTGGTCCAATAGGTTTCGGTTCGGTTGATTCGGATTTTCGGTACTGTGCTCATAAGTACCATTCGGTTTTTGCTAATAATCGGATCGGATTCGGTTCGGATCGGATTATAACCAATGTCTGAAATCGTCCAAAAATATTTTCTTAAAACCTAAAAATTTGATAAAATTGTATTCAAAATATGTAAATTATTCACAAGTATACTTAAAAATTAGTTAAACTATCTAAATTAGCTAAGATATATTCAAAATAACATATAATATAGACTATTAAATATTTAGAATATTATAAACTATCTAAATTATCTTAACATATATAAAAATATTAACATATTTAACTAATTTCGGATACCTTGGGATCCTACTTCGAATTTTGGTTCGGTTCGGGTTATAACCAAAGTCCGAAGTACTAGGCTCATAAATCCCATTCGGTTAGTTTTGTATAATGGTTTGGATCCGGGTTCGGTTTTTTCAGTTCGGGTTTAGGTCAGTACTTCGGGTTGGGGTAAAAACGCCCAGGCCTATACAGAACCATAGTTATCACACAGCCTATTTGATATTGGAAAAAAAAGAATTAAAAAATTGTTTAAAATTTTGAAACAATTATAAATCGCGTTTGCGGATTGTGAGAAGAGGAGAGGGAGTGAAGCCTATCCCGCCACTAAGAAACCGCAAAATTCTTCACGCCATTTTGCTCAGTCGGCTCTTTTACGTCCTTGGCCGCGCCGGTGTCAGAAAGACTCCTTTCGTTCCAAAATGTATTTCCTCAGCTTTCCGATTAGGATTTTCGTTTTCTGTTACAAAGAGAATGTTCATAGCCACGAACATAGTCGATTCTCACTTAAGATTTTTTTTCACGTTTTTATCGTTTTTTTTTCAAATTGCTGGAACTGGTGGCTCGGATTCGTTACGTTTCACTGGAATTTTGTTTTAAAGACATTCGATTTTGAGTATTTAGTCAGTGATAGTGTGCAATTCTCTAAGTTCTTGTTGATGTTATCTTTCAGCTTGCTCCCACTAATGTGAATGCAACTTTATTTCTGTGTTTGTTGATCAAGTGACGACATTGTGTCAAGGGAGGAGAAAGTTACTGGAACCTCTTCAGCGTGTTTAAAATCTATGATTAGTGCAAATCAAATGAGGCAAGTTTGATCTTTTCCCTGTACTCTCTTTATCCCTATCGACGATTTTATGGCGGTTTCTAACTGTTTAATATTGCAGTAGGACTCATCTCCCTGAAGCTCCTCAAGTTAATTGGTCAGAACATGTAAAAGTGCTCGAAAGTCCATCGTCGGTGACTAAGTATCTGAGCTCCAGTTTCCTTTACGCTCTAGAAAGTCAGAAGCCCCGAAGAAACAGAGATATGGCTGCAAGGTATCATGGCTATATGTCTACTTCATCCTTTCCACAACACTCGTCTCCTTGTGTCTACTGCCGTCCAGCATTCTTTTAGAGATCTTTGTTCCAATGCGTGTTTTGTTTTCTTAGTATAAGTTGACTCTCATAGTTCCAAACTAGATTTTTCTTAGTCTTCTTCATTGCTCTGTTTACAATTAAGGGATTCATAGGTATTAAAAAAGCTTTGTTCTCTCTCTGTCTAGGTTAATTGCGTTTACCAGTGTTAATGCGCACACTTTGGCGCACCCGCAAATTGCCAAGGTAATATCCTTGAAGAGTAAATACTTTATCTCATTCTATTGAGCTTCCCCTTTTTGATGAACCTCTTTTTCATGAAATGTAATGTTACTTGTTGGTATCTTTTGTTGGCAGGCTTGGCGTGCTCTTTCAAGTCTCTCAATAAATAAGACCTACCTAAGACCTGGAATCACTCCCCCGGTTGAGGACAGTGGCACCAATGGCTCATATTCTGCAAGAGAGAGATCCACTGTGAAAGTTGCATCTAGCACTGATGGTTCTTTTTATTCGAACAATCAACACAATCAAATGAGTGTACCAGTAACTGGAAGATACTTGCACAGCTTTTCTTCTTCTGCCCCTGGTGATGATAAAATAGCTGCTGAAAAGTTTTCACGGGTGAATGATGAGGTCAGAGAACCAGAAACGAGTTGTACTCGTTTAAATGGTGTGGAGAAACCCTTCATAAATTCTGCACTCACAGCGGAGCAGTTGGAATCTGGAGAAGCATGTCTTGATGAGATTGATGATTATGACATACTTCAGGTAATGTTACCAGTTAAAGTAGCACATAGTTTTTCGTTATTTAGTACTCCGTGTGGAAGCTGTTTTTGCCAATCTCGATTTGTATTATCTGTGAATAGTAGCATGTTTCGATGACAGTAAAGATCAAAGTACGTATAGCTTACCTTGTAGGTGTAATTGTTACCCAGTTTGGATCTGCGAAGAAGTCTTTTCATAGATGCTTACGCAGAATAAGGCTTTGTGGTGAAAATATGTCAACTCAAGCATGTTAACACTTTGTGATGCAGATTGTTGATGTCGACCAAATTGTGATGGAACACTACCAATCAACAAGTACCCCACAACCATCTGTATCTAGTTTTCCATTGAGAACTCCACCTGTGAATAGAAGTGCTTCCAGTAGAGAAGAAGAGTGTTGTCTGCCTCCTGAACTATGTTCCAACTGTAGTCATGGAATAAAGGTATGACTACTCCTTTTCTCTCTCCTTTAATGTCTCTAAAATGTTTTTCTCATTTTCTTTGATGTTGGTATCTCCTCAGCTAGGGCTTTGTCCTGAAGCGTCAAACCATTTGGAACAAATGAAGAACGCGTTGATTGCAATATCAAATGAACTCCTTGACGATGATACTGATCTGAGTCCTGATCGTATTCAAGAGCTTCGTCAAGAGAGGTCGATATCCAAATCAATTTTGTTTCCATTTTCTTGGCTGTTAAATTTGCTCCGTTTTGGTATACTATCCTGCAAAAATCTATTGGGAATAATAATACAGCAAAAAGAGATAAGGGCTAAAGAAATAATGGACAATACATCTGTTTCTTGAGTCCGAGTATTAAGGGTGTCACAACTGTGAATATGCCTTGACTTTTGGTCAGTTCTAATGTATCACAATTTGCATTGTTGCTAGGTTACAGCTGAAGAAGCAAATTCAGCAGCTCGAAAACCATATCCGAGATAGAGAAAGGGAAACCTCTAAATTTGTGTCATCTACAGCTACTCGTACTTTCCAGTATGAAACACCTACCGCAACAAATCGCTATATGAATCATCCACAAACTGATTCTCGAGCACAATTTAGTGAGCAAGACAGATATGCATCTAATAGTTGGAACATGCCCAGAGATTCATCATTTTCTGTAGATAGGTATGGTCTTTCATCTGCTCCTGTAGATAGGGAACAATATGTTCCGAGGATTATCGACGTGACGTACACCGAAGGTTCAAACGACAAAAGGTGGAGCAGTCGTGATTTTCCTTGGACCAGAAAATTAGAGGTGATTTGCTGAGTTTCTTTTCTTTGTTCACTTACATTCCATGTATTTATGTGTTTCCTTGCAATGTTCAGGTCAGTAACAAAAAGGTGTTTGGAAATCATTCTTTCCGACCTAACCAGAGAGAAATCATTAATGCAACAATGAGTGGCTCTGATGTTTTTGTTTTGATGCCAACTGGAGGAGGAAAGAGTTTGACATATCAGGTCGATACTGAAAATGTTACTTTTTAATGTCGTTTTCGGTTGTTCAACCTATTTCTTGTTTTTCACTGTCGAATATGTCATACGCGAAAGCGATGGAAGTTTCAGGTTGCGTTCTCCAAAATGTTTCCTAACATCTTTCTTTTGCAGCTCCCCGCTTTGATCTGTCAAGGAATAACATTAGTCATTTCTCCACTTGTGTCACTTATTCAAGACCAGATAATGAACCTATTGCAGGTGAATATTTCAGCAACCCCCAGAGATTCTACTGTATCATCTGTTTCATTGATAATTGCTCTTATAGAGGATTATTTCAATTTAACAGTTTGATATCTGAATCATGGTTACAGGCCAATATACCCGCTGCTTCCCTAAGTGCCGGCATGGAATGGGCTGAACAACTGAAGATCTTTCAGGAGCTTAGTTACGAGCACTCTAAGTACAAATTACTATATGTCACACCCGAAAAAGTGGCACAGTGAGTTGTTATTTTATTTTTAACTATCGTTCCTTTTTTTTTCTGTATTCCTCTTTTACTATTTACTAGACTCTTGGTTAGGATATACTGTGGCCTATGATATATGCAGTTCTACCATAGGTCCATAGGTTTTTTATAATTCTAGATTGGTTATAAGCATGTTGTGGACAAGTGTTTAAGGCTCGCCTCACTGATTAATATTACTGGTAACACGTAGCTAAGAAGCATCTATTTCTTGACTACAGAAGCGATTCTCTTTTAAGGCATCTAGAAAGCTTAAACTCCCGAGGTTTGCTTGCTCGATTTGTTATTGATGAAGCTCATTGTGTGAGCCAATGGGGGCATGACTTTCGACCAGACTACCAGGTTAGGACATCAAAAGCTTCAATCAGGCACTTCTTTTACGTTTTTGAGAATCATCGTCGTCCTTTTACACACCAAGAATATTGTGGAATGTGCAGAGTCTTGGTATTCTTAAGCAGAAGTTTCCAAACATTCCCGTCTTAGCTTTAACAGCTACCGCAACAGCCAGCGTGAAAGAAGACGTTGTACAAGCCCTTGGCCTTGTCAACTGTGTTGTGTTCCGGCAAAGTTTTAATCGCCCAAATCTATGGTAAAGTAAACTTAAGTAAAAAGCGATGTCTATGCATATATTCCAAAATGCTGCTTACCCAGAAATTTGCAGGTATTCCGTTGTTCCCAAGACGAAAAAGTGTCTGGAAGATATTGACAAATTTATCAAGGAAAACCATTTTGATGAATGTGGAATTATATATTGTCTTTCAAGAATGGACTGCGGGAAAGTTGCTGAAAAGTTGAAGGTTGGTCATTTGTATATTGCAGCCATATCATGTCCTGTGCATACTACAAAAAATCATGATTGTTTAAACGTAGAATTGGATACCATTTCAGGAGTTTGGTCATAAAGCAGCGTTCTACCATGGCAGTATAGAGCCTACTCAACGTGCCTTAGTACAGAAACAATGGAGAAAGGACGAAATCAATATAATATGTGCCACTGTTGCCTTTGGAATGGGTACTGTTTTTTGCTAATGTTTCTTTTAATTGATGGAATTGTGTTGCGCATTAACATTTTTACATTCCAGGAATCAACAAGCCTGATGTCCGCTTTGTAATTCATCACTCGCTCCCGAAGTCTATAGAAGGCTATCATCAGGTATGTAATTGTATTGTAGAATCAGCCATGAAAATCTTGTTTAACTAGTTGCACATAGAGCTAGATACTGGTATTTCTCCTTGAAACTCACATGAGCTATATTTTTTTCGAATATCAAGGAATGTGGTCGTGCTGGCAGGGATGGCCAGCGGGCATCTTGTGTTTTGTATTACGGTTATGGCGACTATGTAAGTTGCATGCATACTAACATAAATTTTTTTTCATCGTTCATCTTTCTGGTCTTGGTCATGTTTCTGATCCACAATATTATTTCAGATACGAGTTAAGCATATGATTAGCCAAGGAAGAATTGACCAAAGCCCCATGGCAACTGGTTATAATCGAGTAGCAAGTTCAGGGAGGTTACTTGAAACGAACAGTGAAAACCTTCTCCGCATGGTACATAACGTGAAAATTCGTTTTATTTACTTTTTCGACAGTTCTACTTGCTGAGATATATCTCTAAAATTAATTGATTCAGCTTAGATACTGTGAAAATGAGGTGGACTGCCGACGTTTCCTACAACTAGTCCATTTTGGGGAAAAGTTTGACTCCTCAAACTGCAAAAATACGTGCGATAATTGTTGCAGTAGCCAGAGTTTAATTGACAAGGATGTCACCTTGATTACAAGGCAACTGGTATGGGCATTTTTTTATTGTTAACATGTATATCTCACTTGGTGGATGTGTTGTTTCTGATCACATATTATGTGTCTTGCACAGGTTGAACTGGTGAAGCAAACAGGAGAACGATTTTCTTCGTCTCATATTCTTGAAGTCTACAGAGGTTCCTTAAACCAAATGGTATGCACAAATAAAAATAATCCCCATCTCTTTCATGCTAAACCACCGTGGTCTCTTTTTGTGCTTGGTACTAACTGTTAATGATAGCCTTGCCTTCTTAACTCTTCAATCCAATCAGTGTGGCTTGATTTCGTGTAAAAAATAATTCTTTTTCTCTGCATGTAGGTCAAGAAACACAGACATGAGACTTTGCAGTTGCTGGAAAACAGTTATCAAAACTTGAAGTCTCTCGTATCCTGCACTATCTCGTTACAGAGGACATTCTTGTGGAAGACGTTAGAAAAAGTGATATGTACGGAACCGTATCATCGTTGCTCAAGGTATTGTAAATTTTCAACTTGGGACTAAGTCAGATTGTAAGCAATACGGAACCCTGGTTGTCTGTGTGTATACATATAGCATTTATTCTTGACGCTGTCACACACCTAACCTCCATTTACTTATTTGTATCTAGGTGAATAACTCAAAGGCTGCCTCACTCTTTTCTGGAAGCCAGACTATAATGATGAGGTTTGGCTTTGTACTTGAGATATATCTTTCTTTTAAGGTTCACATGAAATAGGTTCAAGCAAATCTTTGCAATTAGCTTTGTTTAATGTGTTACCGAACACGTTAAAGATAAATTTAGCTAACACTTCCATATTCTGTTTCAGATTCCCTTCTTCTGTAAAAGTATTAAAGCCGACTAAATCGGCGCCAACCCCTGCAAAAGCTCAGCTAACATCAGCAGATACTCCCTCAGAAGATTTGGTATATCACTTTGTAGTTTGATCTCCCTTTTCCTGTTGAGATTGATCTACCACTTTGAATTGTTGAGAGGTTGATTCAGTTATGTTTTTTTTCTTTAGAACCTCTCCGCCATCATGTACACAGCCTTGAGGAAGCTTCGTACGCTTCTTGTCAAAGAAGCCCCTGACGGTGTCATGGCATATCATATATTTGGATAAACCATTCCGCTTCCCATTTTCCATGACTCTTTTAAATTCTTTACCTAATCATCCTTTTGTTTTGTGGTGGCAGCAATGCAACGCTTCAGCAGATAAGCAAGAAAATTCCGAAAACCAAAGAGGAACTCTTAGAGATAAATGGCCTTGGGAAGTAAGTTATTATAGCTTTCAAAACCTGTAGTTGTTGAGGCAATGAAGAAAAGCATTCAAAGAGTTTGATGATGGTATGCATCTTTTAAATCTTTTCTTTCAGGGCCAAAGTAACCAAGTACGGTGACCGTTTGTTGGAAACAATAGAGTCAACGGTCAACGACTATTATGGAACCAGTAACAAAGACTCCATGATAAGTCCAGATTCAGGGAAGAGAAGAAGAGATGAGAATACTAGTCCGAATGTAGCCGAGGATGATGATTTCACAGAGAGCACAGTTAAGTCCTGCAAGAAAACAGCGAGGAACAAAAGCAATGAGGTTGATATGGTCAGTGAGAAGCTAGTTTTTGATTTTGAAGACGAAGATGGGTCGGAGATACGTCCTGAGGGAAGAGTGTTACCTTGGTGAAGTTGTAACCACTGTAAAAAGTAAAATTGTAAAAAAAAAATTGCTGTATTTTTTTTTTTTTTGTAAACAAACTCTCTATGGTCTACTTGCTGACATTTTTGTCATAAAACTTTTTGTAAGGAATATTTTTCTCGTAACCTTTTATATATGTTTTGTAAATGAGAAAAAATGCAAAGAAACGATTAGACATATTTACCTAAATAGCTAAATCATAGGAAAAAATAAAGCAATCAGATACTTTGCAATGAACTGTACGGCAGGAGACCGACAAGGAACAGCACAGCCCCACTTCCCTTCTCTTCATACCTTACGTGACATCCACTCCACCAATTTTTTCATATTTTAATCAACTTCTTAATCTATTCGAAGACTCTTTTTTTTGTTAAGAGACTTTAACAAGCAACGTAATAAGGGTCCATGCTTAGCCAAAAAAATGAAATAAATAAATGTAATGGGTCCTATCATGGTTTGTCTTCCTCTGTTGTGTTGTCACAGTTCACGTCTTCACGAAGGCACATTCGCTTTTGATAGCATTGCAGTATTGCTCAGTATCCTTCTTCTTTGTTCATATCTTTTCTAGTTTGCAACGTCAACATCGTCCATATATAAGTTCAGTTCATTAAAAACTCTCAGCAGATTTTGTTTATATGGTCGGGTACATAACTATATCAGATCCTGGACGGTGCAAAATATCTTTCTGACTTTCTTTTGATACAGATTTTATGTGATTTAATTGGGCTTCTTCTGTTGTGTTTCCCTTTTAAGAAGTATATAAACAGAAGGGAAATTATCTCTTTCTTCAACTTATTGTCAGTATTCCGCAAAACACAAATAAATCGCTAGGAGGGTTCTGCTTTAATAATTCTTAATCTATTTAACACATAAAGTACTTTCATGATGATAACCATAAATTTCAACGTAGAACTTCGTACTCGTAAATATGATCAAACATTGGTCGAGCCTTCTGTTTCTGCTTTGGCCATCTTTTTTTGGTCTTTGGTTGAACTTTTTCTTTTTGTCTCACATTGGTTGAGCTATATTATTATATCCTTAAAATATAATTATTGCTCAACTTTATATTCTATTCGAACATTTAAAAACAATCCGTTGAGCTTAAATGCCTTTATATCGTGGGAATAAAGCTTTTTATTCGGTCGAAAGCTCTGCGAGTATTATTAGTCAGATGAATGAACATTTAAATCTCACATTTTAAAGATGGAATAAAAATATAAAAACTCGTTAAAGCATGGAGGGCCAAATGATATTCTTCATACCTAATAATATCATAGACACATGTGATCAAATTAACAGAATTATGTTTTATAAGAACTTTATAGGGTAACATTAGCTTGTATTTCCCTTCAATTATTATTATGCGAAAGACGTATAATAGCTGGAATTGAAATTGTATATGAGAATATTAATCATCGAACGTTGGAATAAAAATATAGATGGACTATAGATTCGACACTCCTGGATGATTTGACAGTTAAGACATTTTATACGATAACAAAAGATTATCCCAAACTAATTATTGATCCGGCTTAAAACATTAGTTAGATTATCTCGATATAGTATATTACTAAGCAGTCTTCATAAAAAAAAAACTTCTATATTTTTCTTAAAATATGTGCCCATTTATGAACCAGTCAAAATATTAATAAAATAAAAATAAATTAAGGAAAAAAGAAAGAAAAAAAAAACACATGTCGCATAAATTCGATAAAAGAAAAGAAGAAGAAAGCTGGTTTGAATGGAACTTTGGTGCATGGGACAACATTCTAAATATTTTACAGTACAAAAAGAACAAATTCTCAGGAAGAAAAAGCTTCTCAAACCTCAGACTCTTATGTCTTTTCTTCTTCGGTGCCATCTCTCTTCTTAATTAGATTCTTCAAAGTTTCATTCATTTGGGTGAGTATGCTGCAAATCCATGTTGGTATCGGTTTTGTTGAGTTTGATTTTATTTTCACCAGTTACTTGTTAGAGTCATGTTCTGTGATTTGAGCTCATGATAATGGTTTCTTTGTATTAATTAATCGAATATCAGTTCTTTGTTTTCATTTTTTTTATATTTAATCTTGTTTTTTTCTTAGCTTATGCAGAAAAGTAGACCCATGTGCATGTGCTCAAGAACATCAACTGTGAGGCGCCGTAAAATGTTCTAGGATCATTAAAAAGCTAGCTGAGATGGATACAAGGTGTGTTTTGTCGTTTAACAAAAACAATTCCTGTATTTGAGTATATATTATAGATCCTTTTTCATTTCCTAGCTTGTTAAAAATTATTATACTATTGTGTAGCATCCTCAGGCCTGGAGAAAGAGAATTCTCAAATGGTGATGTATATTCTGGTGAATTTAAAGGATCACTTCCTCATGGGAAGGGAAAGTATGAATGGTCAGATGGAACTATCTACCAAGGAGACTGGTATGAAGGAAAAATCTCTGGTAAAGGGAAGCTTGTGTGGCCATCTGGAGCTAAGTATGAAGGAGATTTCTCTGGTGGATACCTCCATGGTATTGGCACCATGACTTCACCTGATGGATCTGTTTATAGTGGAGCATGGAGGATGAATGTAAGACATGGACTTGGGAGAAAAGAGTATGTTAACTCAGATCTTTATGATGGTTCATGGAGAGAAGGGCTACAAGAAGGGAGTGGTAGCTATTCATGGACCAATGGGAATAGGTACATAGGTAACTGGAAGAACGGTAAAATGAGTGGGAGAGGAGTCATGAGATGGGCTAATGGTGATCTTTTCGATGGGTTTTGGTTGAATGGGTTTAGACATGGCTCTGGAGTTTATAAGTATGTTGATGGATGTTTATACTATGGAGCCTGGTCTCATGGACTCAAAGATGGTAAAGGAGTGTTTTATCCTGCTGGAAGTAAACATCCATCTCTCAAGAAGTGGTGCCGCTCTCTTGAGTATGATGACACTGGGAAGTTTGTGCTTTCTCGTAGCTCATCAATAAACGTTGAGGAGCTAAGGAGTTTGAGTACTGTGACGCCAAGCCTTTCAGTGAAAACTTCGGTTAGTGGAACGTCTAAAACATTGTCTGAGAGGTTTAGAGATGAAAATTTGAGGAACTCTGATCCTCCTCCATGTGACTTCACATGTCATGGGCCATCAACTAAGTCTGCACGGTCTAATGGCTCAGGCCAGAGAGAGGGTCAGGACAAGAACCGTGTTGTTTATGAAAGGGAATACATGCAAGGAGTTTTGATTAGAGAAACTATTACAAGTTCTGTTGACAGGTCACACAAGATTAGACCTCCAAATGTGCCTAAACAAGTCAAGTCTAGGAGTTTCATGACGTTTATTACAGGGGAGCATAATTATTATCTAATGCTAAATCTCCAACTTGGTATCAGGTAAACTTCATTACAGCCTAGAACACATTGTGTGTACTACTTCCTGTTTGCATATTTATTATGATGGCTTTATGTAATACTTTGTCTTAACACAACAATCATTTGAATGCTTACAGGTATACTGTTGGAAAAATAACACCAGTGCCTAGGCGAGAAGTACGTGCTTCTGACTTTGGTGAGAAGGCAAGAACAGTTGTGTACTTCCCTAGAGACGGCTCCAATTTTACACCTCCGCACAAATCTATAGACTTTTCTTGGAAAGACTATTGTCCTATGGTTTTCAGGTAAAACAGCTTCTTCAGACAGATAAGATTAGAATTAGAGTATAGCATATCAATGTGTATGCTAGTTTTTAAGCACTTGTAGAAGCTATGCACTTCTTAGCTCTGCCTTATATCTCTGTTGTCCATCTTGATCTTATCTTTCTTAAGGATTGAACACTTATGAGTTAGATGACTGTTTGTTCATTGAACTGATATTATGTGGCTGTTTCAGGAATTTGAGGGAAATGTTCAAGTTAGATGCTGCAGAATACATGATGTCTATATGTGGTGATGATGGCCTGACAGAGATTTGTTCTCCTGGGAAAAGTGGCAGTATCTTCTATCTTTCTCATGATAACAGATTTGTGATCAAGACATTAAAAAAATCTGAGTTGAAGGTTTGAACTTAACTATAGTTTGTGGTGGTAACATACAGATACTGAGAACTAATATCATGAAGCTTTTTTGCTTTCTAGGTACTACTTAAAATGTTGCCTAAGTACTATGGACATGTAGGGGACCATGAAAACACACTTATAACCAAATTTTTTGGAGTTCACAGAATAAAACTCAAGTTGGGGAAGAAGGTAATCAATCCTCTGATCCCTATGACAACTTAGTTTCTATTTGGTGTTACCCCTTAGCATGAGCTTTTTGGTCTTTTTCGATAGGTACGCTTTGTGGTCATGGGAAATATGTTTTGCACAGAGTTGAAGATCCATCGTCGATATGATCTTAAAGGATCAACACAAGGAAGAATCACTGAAAAGATTAAAATCCAAGAAAAGACCACCTTGAAAGATCTTGATTTAGCTTATGAGTTTCATATGGACAAGCTGTTAAGGGAGGCCCTGTTCAAGTGAGCTGCTATACAATAATGACTAAACAGATGTGTGTTTTCATTTTGAAAGTTTCTAACTGTTTGTGGTAACCTTCTTGTTTTGGCAGGCAAATATACTTAGACTGCGCGTTCTTGGAATCTCTTCACATCATCGACTATAGTCTTTTACTAGGAGTACACTTCAGAGCTCCAGGACAGCTTAATGATATCCTTGAGACTCCTAACGTAATGTCAGATCAAGATAGTGTTTCTTCTGTAGACGGTAGGTATCAGTGTTTCATGTAGAAATTTTTTGATGGTTTCATGAGCTTACACCACATGATGCCTAGCAATGAACTTAGTGTCTCATATTTTGATTTGCAGTTGGTATGGCTCAAGAACTATCTATACCTCCAAAAGGGTTGCTACTGGTTACTCATGAACCCAATTCAGTGAACACTGCTCCAGGTCCTCACATCAGAGGAAGCACACTCAGAGCATTTTCAGTTGGAGAGAAGGAAGTTGACCTTATTCTCCCCGGAACAGCAAGGTTGGTTACTCATCTATGTTCTTGCTTTCTTCATTTGACATGTGCTTATAGCATAACAATGCCATTGTATCTACTTATTTTTAGGCTTCGGGTGCAATTAGGAGTGAACATGCCGGCTCAAGCTCATCACAAACTTGTTGAGGATAAGGAAGAGTCTGCGACTATTGAACTCTTTGAAGTATATGATGTGGTCGTATACATGGGAATCATAGACATTCTACAGGAATATAACACCAAGAAGAAAGTGGAGCATAAATGCAAGTCTTTGCGGTATGATCCCATCACAATATCTGTGACAGAACCTAAGGTTTACTCAAAACGATTTGTCGATTTTCTACATAAGGTGTTTCCAGAAGAATGATAAGAGATCAACATAATCATTTGTTTCCTATTAGATTATCTAGTTTGCTGTCAAAACTTTATAAACATCCTTTACGTACCTTGACATTTAAAAAATCACAGTGCATGTGTTTTGTAATTTTTCATGAGGAAATTTATTGTATTATCAGTGTGCTTAACAAGAAGCAACCAACAATAATAATTATCACAACAAAATAATTCAAAATGTTACATTACAATGATTCATCAAAGAAGACAAATTTAGAAAGAGAACAAACTTTCGAAATAATAAACAGAACCTATGGGTTTAGTAGGTTTGAAGAGTAAATCAAAAGATTTGGTATGAAGATCATATACAACCAGTGTACGTAAGTAATCATTACCACGAAGCAATAACTTATTCTTATCCAAAATTGCTATTGGCGATAGCCCGATTGATGAACGCGCAAAGCTACTTTCCTTAAACAAAGAAGCACTTTGGGTGAAATCAATCGAACACATTTTCGTCCATGTCTTGTTGGCGCCACCATCGAACGACCATATATCTTGCGTGGGCCAGCTTCTCTCAGACACGCACAAACGATCATCGAGGATGCACATGTTGATGTTGAAAGAGTCAGGTGAATGGGGATGTGCAACGGGAACTTTACAGACGACGTGAAACGTTTTCGTGTGAATAACCATAGATAGTAACTTGACCTCAAAAGGTAAAACCTCGGTTTCTTCTTTAGTGAGATAATAAAGTGATCCATCTAAATACACGGGTTCGCAATGTCCAAGAATCCGATAAGGAGAAGAGGGTACAACGTACCTCCAAGTATTGGTGCTAAAATCAAAAACTTCACAAGTTGTAACGTTATCTCGTTTAAATTCAAATGAATTATATAGATAAACCGGTTTGTACTTGCCACCCTTGACTTTTTCTTTACCGAATCCAAGCCGAGGAAGCGGATAAGCAGCTAACTCACTTCTATTCAATTTCTCTACTATGAGGTGTTGAACGTTGGACATAAGAAAGCTTCGACACCATCTAGTGGCGGGATTCACCACGACGCTGGCACACTTTTCATATAGAGAGTAGAGGCATAAAAGACCGTCACAACTACCATAGCAAAAAAACATTCCAGAAACATGGAACCAGACTGTAGAAGCTTTTGATGAACCAAACAAAAATCTTATAGCATCTGTGTCCTCATCCACCAGACCATCTTCACTACCGTAACCGAGGGGAACGCAAAGAACATCAGGAGCTCGTAATTGTCTGCGACGGGTAAATTGTCTTTGTTGGAAACGTGGAGACTCGATTGTTGATTTCCACTTCTTGGATACAGAATTGAATCTAAGCAGAGAATCCACGGGAAGCCTCTCGAGGATGAGCTCGACCACATCGTGGGGTAATAGTTCCACACTCGAGCCATGTCTTTTCAACATTATAGTACTTTGATCAAGAACGACAATAGAAAACTTTATGTGCACATATATAATATATATACTAGCATCCTACTCGAGCCAGGAATCGGAAAACAAAAAGAAGGAAAACTTGAGAAAACGAATTAAATCTGTAAGTAGTATAGAATACTATTGATAAATATTAATCTAGCTTTAAAAACAAAATTTATAATATTTTATATGGAGTTATTAAATTAAAAGAAAAATGGACTATCATTCATTGAACGAGTTGAAATTAAACTGTAATATATTTAAACAAAAGAAAATGGTCAACACATTTATATTTTACATAGACAGCTATATATTATCAAAAGTGACTAAACAAGCAAAAAAAAATTAAAGCCGAATATAGCATGAGATTTACATAGTTTAATTAAAATATAACAATAGTTTGTGCTGGTAACATTCAAAATGTCAATATTACAGATACTAAGAACTAATAGGTACGCTTTGTGGTCATGGGAAATATGTTTTGCACAGAGTTAAAGATCCATCGTGGATATGATCTCAAAGGATCAACACAAGGGAGAATCACTGAAAAGATTAAAATCCAAGAAAAGACTCCTTTGAAAGATCTTGATCAAGCTCATGAGTTTCATCTTATTAAATCTGATTCAGATATATTCGGATACCCAAAATATTTTGATTCATATCAGATTTGGTTTCAATTGTATAAATACCAAAATTTTGAATCCTTTCAAATATTTAACCAATTTTAGATTCGGTTCGGTATTACTTTTTTGAATTGTATTCAGTTAAGTTTTTCAGATTTAATTAACTATAAAAAGAAGCACCAACAATAATAGTCCTACACGCGTGCTATGTCTTGTCGACATAGTGTCGTCTTAACCAATATAATAGCCTTCAGCAAAACATAGAATATGGACCCCTTTTAAAGATTTATTTGTATTATTTTCACTGTATTTTTTTTAACTTGAGCTCTAAAACCTGAAACAAATATAAAAAAATCAATTCTTTAAAAAGCAAAAAAAAAACAATAACATGAAAACGTTTTTTCTAGTTTTAGTTGATAATGGTAAGAGTACAAATTTCTTATTGTTTTTTCTTTTAATAAAAAATTAAGTTTACTTTATTATGAATTTTTTGATAATTTAATAGATTAAAATAGACCTATAAAACAACAACAAAAGATTACGGACCCATGGCAAATGCCAATATTGCCATGGGTAAGAGCCGGCACTACTTGGATCAAGAACGACAATATAGAGAACTTTATGCGCATATATATACGAGCATCCTATTCGAGCCAAGGCTTTGTACTCCTAACTCTTTTCCTTGCCATATTTTTATTTTTGAAAGACTGTGTTATAATAATTAATAACCATTAACAATATATACCATAACCTTCTTATGAATGGTTTGGTAATAATGGAAAGTTCGGTTGCACTAGTGAGATTAAAATGTCCGGTTATGTTAGCCAGCTAATTATGATTTACTGTAAACAGGGTAAAACAATTTCACTTATAGGATAGGGTAATATCATGAACTGAATAACAAAAATGCTATAAAGCATTCAAAAGCAAATTTCATACCAAAAGTTTATGGGAAGACAAAATTTTGCCTCTTTCGTATAGTAGACATGTTTATATGTATAAAGAAAAGACACTAAATGGTGCAATGGGTAATCAAGGCGGTGCCTTAGAAATCGCGATTATCAGAAGTTGACTACTTCGGCGATTGTGGTTGGGCATGGCAGTGCTGCAAGTTTTTCAAACGGTACAAATGTAAGCAATTTAGAATAAAATTAAATTATTAAAACAAATTGTAATATTGCAAAATTTAGTTACCGCATGAGATGAGTATATTTGGATTGGATAGCACAACAATGAGGTAGACAATTGTTTAGAAAGAGATCATGCAAAATGGTGGGAACTTACTTCAACCAGCATGCATGTGTTTACTAAAAACAAAAAAAAAGTAAGATATAAAATTCACTAAATATTAAAGCTTTTTGTAAGAATATAAAATGATTTAAATAATTGTAACGTTAAATTCAATCAACTGTTGATATGATATGAGTATTTAAAACAAATATAACAACATTGAGGTTGACGGTTATTGAGAAAGAAATTGTGAAAGGTGTTAACACTGTCTTTGAGCATCACATTCTTGGAGAGCTCGGACATGTGCAAAAATAGACCACAATTAAATAGTCAAAATAACATATATAGTTAAAAATACAAAAATTAATTGATTGCTTAACTTTGGGGTTGGATGCATAAGATAAATTGTTATAAAAAGATGTACCATGCTACTAAGACAGTGATAAGGAAGTCTTTCACGCTCAAGCAATGTTAGATCCGTAGACATGAGTAAACTAACCCTAGTTAAAAACTTAATTCAACACTGAAAATGATACATATATTTAAATAAAGTTAACGAACCAATAGTTTCTTCCAGAAGATAAAAGATACTGCCAATTTAGCATACATCGCTAGTTTTAATATTTTTATTCACACTAGTGATAGGTAGAGCAAGAAGGTATTTGCGAAAAAAAGATAATAGTTCAAGCAAATTTAAATATTTTCTATAGTAAAAAAAGAATTAATAAACTTTGAATATATATATATATATATATATATATATATATATATTTAAACATATAGAAACTAACTCATCCAAATGGAGATAAGTAATGCCGGTCTTCAATAGAAAGTTTTAGAGTTTTGTATTAAAATTACAAATCTACCAATATAAAAACATGAGTTTTAAAAATTCGTTTAAAATCTTAGTATTATTGATTTGTTATTTGATAAATTAACAGCTCTTGAAAATATTTTTTGTGAATTTTAAGATTTTCTAATCATTATAATGCGTTATAATATTTTTTAAGTTAAAAATAAATATAATTAATTTTTATATGAGTATTTAGAGTGGTATAATAAACAAATATTATAAATGTTTAGTTTAAATAAAATCATCTAAAACGTACTAAAAATTCAAATGACTTCATATTTTAGATTGAATATACCCCTAAACCTATTATTTTAGGAATTACATTGTATACTAAAGTATACTAGGTGATTTTCCCGTGCTCATGCACGGGCATGTATATTTATAAAATAAATATACAATAATAACTAATTGATATTTACTTTAATTTTTAAATTAATTTATAGTTTGTATGTCTAATTTATATTATAATATTATATTACTTTAATTATATATATAATTTTAGATATGTTATATTTAGTCTGTTTTATTGTTTTTACGGTCGATTTAGTTATCATTTAGATATATTGGATTCTATATATTTCTCTGAATTCAAAAATTATATTTTATATTTTTAAATATTAAATTTTTGATTAATTGTCTTATTTGCATTTATGCTGGTTGTTATCTTAGAAATATAAGTATATTTAGTAAGATTATATATAACTTAAGATTTTTTTGTGCTTAGAAGGAAAAAAAAATAAAAACTAAAGTTTCTGATTCTAAATTACATACATAAGTAACTAATGAATTTTTAGAAGATTTTGAACACATATCAATATTTACAATAGTTAAAATATTTTATAAATTCTAAATAAATTTATGCTTTAGATTGTTTAGATGGTAAACTGAAATTTATTTTAAATAATTTTAAAAATAAGGATTCTGATTTGCTTAAGTATTTGACTATGGTTATATTAAGTTTCACAAACATAAAAACAAAAAATTAAAAATCAAAAGATTATTAAGAAAACAAATAATTTTAACTATTAAAATATAATACATCTACCTCGTTAAATTATATAGTGTTATGGTATTTTAAAATAATTGTAGTTATTTTCTGTTTTTATGTTTGTGAAACTTAATATAACCATAATCAAAATACTTAAGTAAATCAGAATCTTTATTCTTAGAACAGATAATTTTAACTATTAAAATATAAGTATATATCTACCTCGTTAAATTATATAGTGTTATGATATTTTAAAATAATTGTAGTTACTTGATCAAAAGATGTTTATCATTAATTTTTTTTTTAGTTTTATTTTTAGTATCTCTCAAAATAGTCAGTAAAAAGTGATTGTTTTAGAGAAATTATACTATATAAGTAAAATAGAATTTATATTTTTACTTTAATTGTAAGATATTATAGTCAAATAAATATACTAAAAAAATAATTCCAATAATACTAATTATAAAAAAATGTCAGTTAAACATATATCAGTTTATGTTAGTTGATTATTTTATGTAATCATCTAACAAAATAGATATTTATATACAAAAATAATTATTTTGAAAATAGATATATTTTATTGTTTAAAATTATTTTTTAAGGAAAAATAATTTCTTTTTCTAATAGCAATATTTTTTGTGTGAAATTTATTTTATGAAATCTCATTATATACAGATATTGTTATTTTTTTATCTAAGAAGATATAGATATAAAGTATTTTATTACTTCAAAGGTATATTTTATGTTATTTAAATTAATTATTACTATTTTGTGAACTTTCCTTTTTTTAAAACCATATTTTATATACTTATATTTTCGTTTTTAAATAGTTTTGTAAATTTTATGAATGTTTCATTTTTATTTTATATTGTTTTTTGGAAATTTTAAAAAAGGAAATAATATTTAATTGTATTTTTTATTCATTAGGGGTATCATAGTAATCAACCATCGTGAAAGTTAACGTGAGCGCGACACCTAAGAAAGTGACTTCTCAAATAATATTATAGAGATTTTTATTTGCAATTAATCACATCATTTTAACGAACCGAAGATAAAATTTAAATGATAACTTCAGTAAATAAGAATGCCTCATCCAACCTAATTAAACCGGAACACTGGCTGAAACATTGAATCAAAATTTGGTCAAGACAAAACATCTAAAACTTACTAGAAATCAAATGACTTCAAATTTTGGATTGAATATTCGATTACTCCTATATTTTAGGAATTCTATTGTATAGTAAATTAACAATTATCACATCATTTTAACAAACTGAAGATAAATGTAAACGATAACATTCAGTAAATAAACCAATGTTCTTGAGCCTCTTCAAACCTAATTAAACCGGAAGGGAGCTGAAACATTGAATGGAAATTTGGTCAAGATAAAGATTATTTCCGGTCTCTACTCGCTTTATAATAAAAAATAAAAAAATAAACCGAACCAAAATAGACCGATGGACAGGCCAACCATTATTCTCCCCATAACCAAAAACAGAAGAACCCTTCGGTCTTCTTCGGCGTTGATCCGTCTCTTACTCTCCGTTGCCGGTAAAGTCGATAACCCTCATCGTCTTCCTTCTTTAGATCTTTTTGGTTGAATTCTAAGTAGTTGATTTTCAGTTATGCTCTTTTGAATCGATTTTAATCTTTGAGTGAAGATGGAGATCTCTCTCGTGGAGATAAAGGATTGATTTTTATGGGGTTTTTCTGGTGTTTACCTGATAAGTTTGAAGCTTAGCTTGCACATGGTTAGTGTTACACTAATAAGTAAAAGCTGAGTTTGTATTTGTTAAGTAATAACAAAACTCATTTCAAAGGAACATTCTCTCATGTATCTCTGTTTTGGAATTTTTTTTAATCTATGTTTTGTTTGTATCCGTTGAGTGTTACACTAGAGCCAATCTCTTGAGTAAGCATCACAATATCTTGAAATATCATTTGTTTGGAACATGGTTGCCTTCTTTGCATAGGAAACAGTTGAAAATGGCGAAATCTTGTAAGGGTCTTGCTGAAGAGCTTGTCAAGTGTCTCAGTGAATCGATCTGTGTTAAGGTAAATATTTAACATATGGATACACACTGATTTTGCTATATTTAATCTCTCTCTATAGTGTATTCGCATCCTGTTGTTTAAATTACCACTTGGTTTCATTCATTTTGTGGGATATTTTTGGTGTAGGATGAGAAACGGTCAATAAGGGACTGCGCTGGTGAGAAAAGCCCATGTATACCGAGTGAATGTGTTGGCCTACGGGAAACCTACTTCAATTGTAAAAGAGGACAAGTAATGTTTTGTTTTTCTCCACTTACAGAGTCTCGTTTTTGTGAACACTTAAGAGATTGTTATGTTCAACATTGTTTTTGTGTGTGTTTTCTGTAGGTAGACATGAGAGCCAGGATTCGAGGAAACAAAGGCTACTAACACAAGAGATATATGCTGAGCACCTGCTTGTTCAATACCGGATTTTCACACTGTTATTTTTTGTGTTCTTTTGATCAATTCCTTTTGTTTTCTGAACGATACTAAAGGGGACAATGCAAGGTCTCACAATACTTTCAAGTTAGGCTTGTTCCTATATACTCAAACTTGATTTCTTTTCCTTCGAAAAAGTTGTATTACACGGTACTTGATGTACTGGAATGTCTTTATGTAGCTTAAAGAAAGAGTAACAATGAAAAAACATGCTTACTTTCGTCCAATTTCTCAATGCCCTCATCTCACAATCAACCATTTCGACAGATTTTATGTGTAAGCCCTACAAAAGAAGAAAACAGCTTCACACTGTGAACCGAGGCATCTTCTCTCGTGCCCCTATTTTTTTTAAGCTAATCTCTTATGGGCTCACAAGATCTCTTATACCCCTATTTCATAATTCTTGTTTTTGATCAAAATCCAAACCCCCAATTAAATCATTCCCAATATTCAAAACTAAACAAAAACCCCCCCCAATGGATTAGTGAACCCTTGGGCAAAGATTTAAATTCTATAGTGATCAAATTTCGAAAAAAATATATTTTAAAATCGTTTTTAATCATATTTTGATGATTTTCGTGAAAATATCAAAATTTAATTTTTTTGAATTTTGAAATATTTTTATCAAATTCTATAAATCAAATAAAAAATATTCACATTTTCAGATTAATTTTATGATTTTTCGTTTGACATACAAAATTAAAAGAAGAAATGTGTCCTAGAAAAATTAGAGAATGAGATTTAGGGGCTATAGAGGAGATACCTCCTGTGGACCACCCTACCTCAAGACTCATATTCAAGGAAATCAATAAAGAAGGCCCAGGAACAATATGGTCTGGGCCTTCTATACAAGAAATCCTAGGTCCATGGGCTGGGTCTTCAATTTGTTTATAAAAATTATTTTGGGTCATCGACGGACATAATCTCAAACTTGAGGACTGTTTTGCAAATTTGTCTCTAAAATAAAGTTCGAGGAAGCTCTATTACATCGTCTTTCGCTCTCTCACATCTCATCTCCGCCGCCGGTAAAGACACACATCGTTAGGGTTTCACGTCGGAGAATCTTACTCCTTGACCTCAGAAGCTTACATCAATGGCAACCAGTCAGTAAACTCCTCCCACACCGTTCTTAACGTACACATAGAATCCACTGTAGCTCATCTGAATTTGCTCTCGTGTTTATTTTGTTATGCAGTGGCTAGATCGTTTTTGCAGGCGATATCGAAGGATGAGGCGGTTGCTCCTCCTCTCAGAGTTGTTCAGATCGAAGGACTGGTAAAATCCGGAGCTCTCTCCCTATGGTGTGATTGATCTCGTTGTTCTATAAGCTAAATTGCTCAATTGCTCATTGTTATCAAGTAATGATACATGCCGAGGATTTTGAATGTGTATATACGATAGGCTGTGCAGCTAATGATAATCAAAACATTGCAAGGAGTTTGCACTTGAAGCTAAAATTGCTCGTTGCTCATTAAACGTTGTCGTTTTAAATCTATAGGCTGTGTTAAAGATAATCAAGCATTGCAAGGAGTTTGCACCGACGCTTGTCACAGGGCAGCTTCTTGGACTTGATGTTGGTAGTGTTCTTGAAGTCACTAATTGTTTTCCTTTCCCCGTAAGTTTGATGGAGTTTCTCACTTTTGTTAAAGAGTGTTATAGCTTGTGTCTGGTTGATTTATTTTTGAACGAGTGTAGGTGAGAGATGACGATGAAGAAATTGAAGCTGATGGGGCTAATTATCAGCTTGAGATGATGAGATGTTTGAGGGAGGTTAATGTTGATAACAACACTGTTGGCTGGTAGGTTTTTCATGTCATCTGATTGTGGAATCGTGCTGAATTGTTTTGTGAGTGTAATAAGATTTTAGCTGATTTTTTTTTCAGGTATCAATCCACTGTTCTGGGGTCCTATCAGACTGTAGAACTCATTGAGACCTTCATGAATTACCAGGTACTGAATCATGTGTACCATGTCCTTATCTTATGATACTCTAGATTCTGGTTTTTGTCAATTCATATGTATGCACGTCGTTCAACTTGCCTTCCTTTGCGTTTAATTACTTGCGATAACGAAAAACAGAGTTGGGGATATTCTTATGTATGTCATGGTTATTCTAGTGTGTAATAGGCAGATTGGTATCTGTTTTGGTCAAAGACTTGATTGGAAACTGAACCATGAGAATTCTTGCTGAGACTCTGTATTGCAAATCTGTTACAATAAGAAGCGAAATTAAATCAATTATTTCATCTGCATCTACAGGAGAACATCAAGAGGTGTGTTTGCATCATCTATGATCCCTCTAAAGCTGACCTAGGCGTCTTAGCATTGAAGGCTTTGAAGCTTTCAGATTCCTTTATGGAGTTGTACCGCGGGGGAAACTTTACAGGCGAGAAGTACGTATCCTGATTTAAGTCAAGGTTTTATCATGATCTACGTGGGATAATTGTAGTGTTCTAATCACTTTTTTTTTTGTCAGGTTGAGAGAGAAAAACTTCTCTTGGATGGACATTTTTGAGGAGATTCCTGTAAGTTCTAGAGCTTGCCTGTCTATCTTACTAACTTATCTTTTAGAAAAATATGTTGGAATATTAGTGTTGCCTAATTATAACTTTTGCTGAGAAAAGATTTTGGTTTAAATGTCGAGTTCTTCCTTTTGTCAGATCAAGGTTTCAAACTCTGCACTTGTCAGTGCCTTCATGACCGAACTGGAGACTGATGCACCTGTCTCACAGGTACATTATTAGCATCCGGACAGAGATTCTCACTTGCTGCCAGTGTTCCAGATTTTGACTCTTGTTTCTTTGGCGTTTTTTTTCTTTTCTAGGGAGATTACGATCGTCTGCACTCATCAACCACTCCTTTCCTTGAGAACAATATGGAGTTTCTGATTAAATGCATGGATGATTTATCTATGGAACAGCAAAAGGTTTGGCTTATTCCGCATATTTTTCTTCAATTCTCTCACCCTTCAGAACTATCTTAATACAGTTTCTTATTTTACACTTTCAGTTCCAATACTACTACCGGAACCTGTCTCGTCAGCAAGCACAGCAGCAAGCCTGGCTCCAGAAGAGAAGGTAAGTAGCATTATTGGTTCTGGTTCAATTTCTTTCATTCCAGTCTCATGGTTTTGTGGCAAGAGTTAACATTTGTCTCAAGCCTTTTACTTCTTTCTCGTGTTGATATTTACTAACGAAGAGGTTTGGTTTATAGGACGGAGAATATGGGTCGTAGATCAGCTGGGGAAGAGCCTTTGCCCGAGGAGGATCCAACAAACCCAATCTTTAAGCCAATCCCTGAACCATCAAGGCTAGAGAGTTTCCTCATCACAAACCAAGTCTCAAACTTCTGTGGCCAAATCAATGGGTATGTTCTCTCGTGTTAATTTTTGTATAACCACTTTTCTCCATCTTGACCGTGGAAAGAGACTTTAATGAGTCAACCCCGTTGCTATGCAGAGTGGCTGGTCAGAACTTCAGCAGGCTCTACCTCACCAAAGCGTTGCACGACAACTGAGTAGGAGAAAGTGAGATTTGGTGATAGAACAGATCCTGTATTTGTTTTGCTGGAAGTTTTTCAAGTAGAGTAATAACTTTTTTATATGCACAAGGAAATGGTCATTGTAACCGTAAAAGATTTACTCTTTTCTTTTATAATATACTTTTGGAGTTTGAATCAGACACTGGTGAAGATTACTACAAAGAGTTTGTTCGGTTGCCTTATATTGCAATCACGGCGTTAACAGTTGGGGCCTATTTTGCTCACCCGTTATTGCAAGGTGCTAGCTTCAGGCTTCATTGGTAGATTCTGTGTCTTAATGTCTTCTTTCCTTCAATGTTCATAGGCGAAGATCATAAAAACCCCTCAAGGAACTATGAGAGTTGAAAGGATAAACTTATAAGATTGGATATAGTGTTTAACAATATTTACAAGCTTCTGTATTATTCGTTTCAAACTGCTAATTTAAAACAAACACAAGTAATCCATACTAGTGTGTGGGTGTTTAGAATATTTAATTACACCCTTTTTGATATAATGCCCCCACTCAGATGTTATGGGGACTATGATGGCGACCACCACCACTAATAAGAATTTTTTTTACCATTGTTATGCAAAGATGTTGATTCAAAATATAGATTGATATCTAGTATCTAAGATATTGATGCCCTAGATATCTCCAAAGCTAAAGGTCATTGACTCATTGGTCTGAACTATCTTTTATATATATAGAAATTTTTTTTTAGAAAAAAAATCATAAAGTACTAAAGTATTTAGTGAAGGGCCCCTTTAGTGAACTTGTATTGTTTTCATCACTATAGCAGAAGAGAACAACTAAAAATAAGAAACGTCCAAAGAGAAGAGGAAAGGGGCATATGAAGACAAGAAAACAAAGAAGAACCAGACACCAACACTTACTGTACTTATTACTAAACTCTCTTTCTCTTCTCTCTCTCTCTCGACTTTTCTTCCGTTGGAGTTTGCAATTTGCTGTTATTGAAGATATCTATAGCTTCCAGAGTGCTTTGTCTTTTGTCAAATCTGAGGTGAACTGCTCATCTTATGCTCCTCTACTGTTTTTTGTCTTCTTTTTTTTTGTTTTCAGAGCATAATTAATCTCATCCTTGGGGCATTCTCGTAGGTTGTAGCTGGAATCAGTTTTCATTCAATAGCATCTGAGCCACCACAAGGATGATTCCAATGCATAATCACTTTGTGCCGCCGAGCACTAGCACCACCGGTCTTGTTTCTCCAGCGAATTACGCTATTTCCAGGTTACATCCTTCTGTGGATGATTCTTTGGTGGCTGTAGTGAAACATGAAGCTGCTTTGGTCATGGATTGGTCCCCTGAGGAGCAGTATGTATTGGAGAACAGCCTTGCAAAGTAGGTATCTTATATGGATCTTTCTTTCCATTTGCTATTTGTTTAATCTGCAAATGCAAAGTTTATTGTTAGTTCTTTGGCTTTTTCCGTACTATGATCATATTTTCAAAACAAAATAATAAAAGCTAGATCAAGAATAGTTTTTTTGACAGATAGTAGGCACATTATATTCTTCTCCATGGTGGACTATTAAAGTATGTTCCTTTGGAATAAACAAGTATAGCTTTTGTGTTTCATGAATTGTCAAAAAAATGCATATTGTTATCTTGGACTTGTGACCATTAGCCATTTCAGGTTGCTTCTCTAAGGAAGACATTTATCCTACATCGGTTTATTATGAAAACTAGCTGATGTTTGTTCTTTTTCTACATGTTATTTTGGGTTTCTAGACTATGTAGGTTTTTGCTTTGTATTGTTGGTTACAATGCATGACACTTTGTTTTTTTTTTCGATTGTAGTTTAACAAATGAACCGAAAATTTCAAAGTATGTAAAGATTGCTGCAACACTACCAGATAAAACTGTGAGGGATGTAGCATTGAGGTGTAGATGGATGACGGTATGTTCCTAATGCTCTGATGATTTCAGCTTATGTTTTCCCTTCATGTTGCTCATGTGCATTTTGCTTATATGAGAAGAAATTTTACCACTCTAGCGTCTAGACTTCTACCAAGGATATATCCTAATTAGCAGTTTCTAGCATTTCTTTTCCAAATGGTATGTGGCTGTCATGGAAGTAGTAATCTGCAACTTTGGGTGTGTGCTTTGCGATAAAGGTAAAGTCCTACAAAAAGTTATAGGTTTTATTGGTGAAAAGACACCCTGCCATGTCGTAAAGATTGTGTAAAGGATGAGCAAAAAGAGGAACGACAAGTTTTGCTGACGCTATACCTGTCTTTCTATTATCTTTGATGAGAAGTTAGGTCACATCATATTGCTAAATGTTTGCATAATAAAGTGAAACAAAATGATGTAATGGAATAAAATGTTTTATTATCATTATGTTGCAATCTCCTTCATGTCTCTGTCATGTGAGTCTTCAATCAGATATATGATGCAATCAAACATAAAGTTCCCTTTTCTATTCATTAGTGCTTGTCTGCCTTTTATCCTTTTATCCTTTCATCTTTCATCATCTCTAAATTTGTTGGCTAAGACGGTCGTTTATTCTCACAGGGAAAACGGAGAAAAAGAAAAGAAAATAGTGCTGGGAAGAACATTAGCAATAGAAAGGTATGTGGCACAATAAATATGCTTTCGAACTTGGTTCTAAAAACCATGATTCTTCTTGGTTAGGTGGTGGATACATCCCCAGAATTGAGCATGCTAGCCAATGTGCCACAACAAAATGCTTTATATGTCATTAACAATATGTGCCACAGTTCACACATGCCTCGTGAAGGTTTAGTACTCTTAAATTATTTGCTAATATAAAGATATATCAGTATTGTGAGTGAGGTACATTTGTTGAACTCTTCTTCTCAGGTTTAAGTGATGTGGTAATGGATCTTCTACAGCAAAACGCTCAAGTTTTTAGTCAAATTTCTTACAACCTCTCTGTGTGCAAGGTAATGTAGTTTTTTTGCAATCCTTTGTTGCGTGAGAAGACTATCCTAGCTTTGTGTATACAGTTGCAGGATAACATCAAACTCTTTTATCAGACAAGAAATAACATCAACGCCATTCTGACCAAGTATGTGGATCTAATAGAGTTCTTGCAATTGAGACATGTCATCTGTCCTCTTTTCCTTTTTTATGATTTTAAAGCTTTCAGTTACTAAACTCTTAGTTTCTGTTGCAGTATGAAGGAGATGCCAGTTCTGCCTGTTTCAATTAACGATGATCTTGCAAGCCATTTATTCTCAAGTATAACACAGGTGAGATCTATTGTGTTGGTGCTATATAAAAGATTTGCTGATAGGATGGAAAAATTGAAATGAAGCTAATCAAAGTCTCTACACTTACCTCAAATAATCAGAGATTTATGATGTTAAGTGGACTCTTTTTCTTTGTCTCACAGCCAACATCGTACACCATTCAACCAAGCATCCACATGAAGCAAGAGCCGAGAAGATGATTGGGGGAAAGCTGGATTTTGACCGTTGCTAAAGAAAGTAGCACAAGTACCTGGCAAGTGGAAATGGCACAGACACAAGGGTTATCAACTGCAGACACCGCTCCAGAACAAACACGAGATTAGACTGAGAAGAATACGGTGTGCTCTCAGGTAATTTGACTGAGAAGAACGAAAACTACAGGCTAAAGTTAGAACATAGGAGATAACTTGGAACTCATAACAGAGTTCAGAAATGGGTTGTTGGAACTCCAAAGCCCTTTTGCTGTAATCATGTTGATGCGTAAATTAGTATACTGAACAGTTCGTGTGAGTTTTGTCTTCAGAGGCCGCTTATGTGTAATTCTGATTCATGTTTAGGTAATATTTTGTCATTCACGATGTAACATAGTTTTCATTTTCATAGCTCAAAAACCTGATGTCAAACAACATAAATTGATTAATATAGTTTCAACCTAGACCTAATAATTTTGAATTTGGATTTTGGGATGTTACAATAACATTAAAAAACTGGTCAAGTGATCAATCCAAAATTGAATTGCTTGTTAGAACTCCTCAGAAACTTTTACTTTTTCTTTGGGTATCCATCACTTGAATGGTCCACATTATAGTTATATGAGTATAAACAAGTTAGAAAAGTTATCATATAGTCCAAAATATCAAATGTTGAAAACAATTTCATTGTAATAGTAAACAAGTTATAATATAATTATTTATAAACGGCGGGAATATCCAGAACCTCCACATTTCTTGCAGAAAATCAAACCTACAATTAACCAAGCAAAACCAATTCATACATTGTAAAAAGAGTGTTGAGCACAAAAAGGATGGTTTAGTTAGGTACCTGAACCTTTGCAGACTTTGCAGTCAACCATACCAGAGTCTACTTTCATCTTACCTTCAAAGCAGAAGACACATTTGGTTCCACCTTTTTTGATCAAACCCATTTAACACACAACAGAAAAAAAAAGGAAAACACTTCAAAACATAATCATCTCAAGTAGTTTAAAAAACACTACAAGTCTAATGTCAGAACTTTCAACGTCATCCACTCGAGTTTGATAAATTTATGCATATTAAAATGCAAAAAAAAAGAGTAAATATAAAAAAGAGAGTCACCGTTTCCACCACATCTCTCGCATGGAACTGGATCTCCCTGTAAGAACCAACAAGTTTTTAATAATCAGTGATATGGATTTAAAGAATCAGAGATTGATGGATAATGAACCTTGAAGCCGAGGAAGAGAGAGAGAGCAATGGCAACGACAAGACTGATGGTCACAATGAAAGTCTGTGTATCAACGAATCCACCACCATCGAAGCTGCTACTTAAGAAGAGAAGGGAAGGGTGGTGGGTGATGATATTAGCCGAGCAAGAGCAATGAACACAACTTGTCCTTAAGAATCTTTTGGGTTTTGTGAAGTTGGGAAAGAAGAGAGATTTTGGAGTTGGGTTTAAGGAAGAAGAGGAAAAGAGTTGCAGAGAGATGAGAGGTCGAGTGGCCATGGATTGTTGATGAGCTCAAAAAAAAAACATAAGAAGAACATGTGGAGACAGAAGGACTTTAATTTATAAAATTAATTTCTTTTTCATTTTTCTTTAAATAAAAAAAAAGTATGGAAGCTTCTGTCCTAACAAGAGACTTTCTTTAAAAAGGTAATTTTTTTACTTTTAAGACAGAAACAGACAAACAACAGTGTATATGATATGGCAGAGGAAAACTATTAGAGCGGGTTTATGCAGTGTTCCAAGAAGACAAAGGTGGAGTTTCAGAGTTCTTGTAGGTAACTATATAAGTGGCTGATCTTTCCCCTTTCACAGAATCAGGACGTCCCATGGCTTCAAGCTCAGCCATCTCTTGTGTGGTGAGTTTCACAGACAACGCTCCAATGTTCTGATTAAGGTTTTTGATCTTGGAGGTTCCTGGGATTGGGCATACATCATCTCCTTGGTGGTGAACCCATGCAAGTGCTAGTTGTGCAGGTGTGCAGCTTTTCTTTTCTGCCATTGCATTTACTTTCTCATATAGAATCTTGTTGTGGTCTAAGTTCTCTTGTTGAAATCTCGGTAAACCCTGCAATAGAGCAATACAGTCTTAAGTAACATTCATAATTAGATAACGATGTGCAATGAATCCATGTACTACTTGCCTTTCTGTAGTCACCATTGTCCACATTCTCAATGAGTTTTGGGCCTTTAGCAAAGAAGCCTAGTCCTAAAGGACTGTAAGCTACAATTCCAATCCCAAGCTCCCTGCAAGTAGGAATGATATCTTCTTCAACGTCTCTTGACCATAAAGACCATTCTAACTGCACAGCAGTGAGCGGGTGAACAGCATGAGCTCTTCTTATAGTGGAAGCAGAGGCTTCAGAGAGGCCTATGTACTTTATCTTCCCCTCTTCAACCAGCTTCTTCAGCTCTCCCATCTTTTAAATGACAGCACAAGAGATAACTGTTTAACACTTACAATAGCAAGATGAAACAAAACAAAAAAACAAAAGATCTTACTGTGACTTCTATGGGGACAGTAGTATCAATCCTGTGCTGGTAATAAAGGTCAATGCAGCTAACACCTAAACGCCTTAAGCTCGCTTCACATGCAGCTCTGACATAAGCTGGATCTCCTCTATAACACCAGTTCCCATCTTCATAGAGCATCCCAAACTTGGTAGCTAGTTGCACTTTCTCCCTCATGCCATCTTTCAGAGCCTTGGTTCAGATCAACCAAAACAATCTCAGTCAATCACAAGAGAGAGTAATGAGTATAATAAAACAAAGATGGGAAGAAGAGTAGGAACCTTTCCCAATAGCAACTCATTGGTCTCGGGACCGTAGACGTCAGAGGTGTCAAGGAGCGTGATGCCAGAGTCAATGGCGTGGTGAATGAGAGCAACGTGTTCTGCTTCAAACTTGTCAGCTCCTTCGAAGATGGAAAGTCCCATACAACCAAGACCTTGCGCTGATACCTCAAGTCCTTGGTTTCCTAGCTTGATCCTCCTCACTTCACTAGTAGCCGCCATTGGTTGATTGAGAGACTCTAAGAATGTGTTGAGTTTTTATTTAAATTTGAAAGCAGTTTCTTGAGGGATTTATAATAGCGGATTGGTAACTTGAATCTCTCCATTGCTATCACAGTCAATGCACAAAACGAAGTACAAGTCTTGAAATGGCTTCAAGAACTAAGTTGTCAATCTTGAATATAAGACTAATCCAATATGGCAAACAAGGAATATAAAAATCTTGTTAACGTGTTCTATTTTGATTTGTCTGAAAAAATAGATTTGCAGTGTTAAAGTTATTTTTGTATTTGAATAAAAAAACTCTTGTGATACACGTAGAATCGTGGTATAAGCTCCTTTAAACCCCTAGTTTCAAAAAAAAAAAAAAAACCCTAGTTTTATCTTGTTGATACTGTTAATATGATGACAACTTGAAGTCCATTGCCTAACAGAGTCCAATGCACAAAACGAATTACAATTGTGGTTCTATTAGAACGTCTCTGCACTATAGGCGTCAAAAAGGAATATAAAAGTATTGTTAGCGTGTACTATTTTTTATTTGTCTGAAAAATACAGATTTGCTATATTGAAGTTTTTTTTTTCTAGTATATTATGAAAAAAAATTGCGGAGAATATAATAAGCATGTCAATAAAAAGCATAATAATAGATATGTATTCTTTATTCACTTCAATTTTTATGTATTAGTATTTTTACCATTTCTTAAAATTATTTAATTATGTATTAGTATTAGAATATGCCATTTCTTTTAAGAGAAAAATTAAAACGTTTTTTGGACAAATCTATTAATAAAATATTTTTAAATTTATAAAAATAGCTTTTAATGATAAAAATCCTAAAATAGCACTTGTTTAATTAAAAAAAACAATACCCTACTCTTTAACTCTGATTTAGTCTATACCCCTTAAATACTAAAACAATAATCAGTAAACTTGAAACCAAATATAAGAAAGAATTTTAATATTTAATTAGTATTATTTAAAAATTATTTTCCTTGTTATTTTCTGAATAAAATATGCTTTATTACTACCTTAAGATATTTTTCATATTTTATTTGTAACAAATCAACCATATGCAGTAACTCAAGCTGCATCTCATTTTAATATGATATCTTTTTCCTAGTTGTTGGTTGCATATTTTATTTGTTAATTTATTTATTTCAAACTGGATTGTTTGTGAGAGATTAAATTATACGGTTTGGTTTCAGATTGGATTCTGGTTTATCAAACCGAGATACCCTAGCATGATTAAATTTTTGTCGTTTCCCGTTTGAGAAAATAAAATAAAAATATAAATGAAACAGTACGTAATAAAGGTGCGAAATGTATTTGAAAACTAAAAAGAGAAGGAGATCTGTGTCTGTTTTTTTTCAAAATTTGAAACTCCGCCTTTCCTCACGCGCCATCTTCTCCCTCTGCTTTACAAATACACTCCAAAAATCTCTCTCTCTCTCTCCATCGCTCTCCAAACAGATCCACATTTCTCCCGTTGTGTGTTCGAGAGATTCTCATTTCTTTTCTTTGACACAACACTAATGCGACGCAGATTCAGATTCTCATACTGTAAGAAACTCTCTTACACACATAATCTATCTACATTGCTTCCTTAAAATCTACACTGTTTTTGAGTTTTGCTTCTACATTCATTACAACTATGGTCGATTCGTTACACCCATTAGCTCAATTTCATTTTTTTTGTTTTGATTAACTCAATTTGATAATTACACTTACACAAATGTTAAAGATGAATGTGGTTTTGTCTATCATTTTATAAAGTTAGTTGCTTTGATTCTCTCTGATGTGTGGGTATCTCAGATTAAAATAGCTAATAGCTTTTTCAGATCTCAAAATGTGAACTTGTGTTAGTTATTGAATCTTCTCATCTCAAGATCCATACTTTTTTTTTGATAAGATCTGTATGTTGATTGAGAAAATACCTCTTTTAATTATTTACAATCTATTAGGGTATGAATTATTTGATTTTTAGTAACTGACCACCAAGTGTTCGATGAAATGTCTCAGCCAACATGGACTCTCTCCCCGACGCTATCCTTCAATACATTCTGTCAAACCTCACCGAAGCCAAAGACGTTGCGTCCTGCAACTGCGTTTCCAAGCGATGGAAAGAGTCTACAGACTCAGTCAAGAGCATCAAATTCCCAAGAAACTCATTCGAAAACATCTCAGACGTCACCGTCTCCGACGCCATTGTTCTCAAGATGATCTCTTCTTTTCACCGTCTCGAGGAGCTTGTCCTCTACTGCCCCTTCACCAGCAAAGGCCTAGCGTCTTGGCTGGCGCATGTGTGTCAATCTCTTAAGCTTTTGGAGCTGAGAATGGATAATCTCGCTAGTGAGGAGGTTCTTGTAGAGGGACCCTTGAAGCTTGATTGTATTGGAGTGGCGAAGGGTTTGGAGACTATGAAGCTTTGGGGTGTTTTGATGATGAGTCCTCCTAAGTGGGATTTGTTTCCAAATCTTCGTTGTCTTGAGATAGTTGGAGCTAGAATGGATGATTCTGCATTGAGTAATGCTTTAAAAGCTTGTCCGAATTTGAGTAGCTTGCTTCTTCTAGCTTGTGAAGGAGTTAAATCTATTTCGATCAATCTGCCGTATTTGGAGCATTGTAAGCTGGATTTTTACGGACAAGGGAACACCTTGCTCTCCCTCACGGCTCCGTTGATAGTGTCTCTTGATGTACAAGGCTGTAGCTGGATCAGTGTCCCTGAAACTAGTTTCTTAAAGAACCTATCCATCGCCAATGTTTCTGGTAAACAGATCGTGTTTTGAGTTTATAACTAGTTTGGTCTGTAGATGTCATTAGTCTTACTTTGTCTTCTTACTTGTTTACAGGGAGAGTTTACATGGTACAGTTCCGTAACCTTTCATCCCTTGAGTCCTTGTCAGTTCGAGGCGTGCAATGGTGTTGGGATGCACTAACCACAATTCTGGAGCAAGCAAGAGACGTGAAGCATCTCTTTATGAAAGTTGAATTCACAGGCAATGAGGCTCTTCAACCTTTCCCTGAGATTGATTTTGTTGAGTTCTTCAAGAACCATCCAAAGCTTCAAAAATTCGACATCCATGGAGCAATGTTCGCTGCACTTTGCCAGAAAAACAGCCTAAAGAAGGTAAACAACAAAACAAAAACCTTCTTGCTTCATCAGAAACCTTCTCTATAAATCAATGTCTTGCGAATCTCTATAATATTATTTGAGAAGTCACTTTCTTGGGTGTCGCGCTCATGTTAACTCTTACGCTGGTTGATTACTATGATACCCCTAATGAATTAAAAATACAATTAAATATTATTTCCTTTTTAAAAATTTCCAAATGATAATATAAAATAAAAAGGAAACATTTATAAAATTTACAAAACTATTTAAAAACGAAAATATAAGTATATATAATATGATTTAATAAAAAAGGAAAGTTCACAAAATAGTAATATTTAATTTAAATATATCTCTATAATATTATTTAAGAATTCAGTTTCCTACGTGTCGCGCTCACGTTAACTCTCACGATGGTTAATTACATAGATACTCTTAATAAACAAAAATATTAAATAAGACTGATATTAATAATGTATTTTCTTTTCTCATAATAAGATTTTACTTAATTTTTTAATTTATGTTTACTTTTTAAACACACATATACAAAAAAAGAAATATTTCTGAAATAAAAATGTTTATATATAAACGAAATTAAATATTTTTTTCGAAATTTTCATAAAACAACATTTTTAGTGTTTATTTAAGAGATATTAAAAATAAAATATTTTTTTTAACACAAATAAATATTTTGATCAAATAATTTCAATTTTTTTTAAATAGCGTAGCACTATACACTATTAATGAAATGAAAATATAATATTTTATCATTATTAAAAATTCTTTTTAATATATAGTTTGCTTTTAAATTTTTTTGTTTTTTATGTTTATGGAACTTAATAGATAAATAATCAAAATACTCAAGTAAATCTAAGTTCTCATTTTTAAGATTGTTTAAAAAAATTCAATTTACCTTTTAAGAAATCTAAGGTATAAAATAATTTAGAATTTATAAATATTTAATTATTGTAAATATTAATATGTTCTCATGAAATTTCAAATGTTTATCTTTATACTCATATTTATGATTGTAAATTCTTCTTGATCGTCACTTTATTTTTAATATATCTTGAAAATCAACATATGTCCAATTATTAAAAATCTTATAAATACTTGCATTAAGCGGTAAATAAAACTATGTTGATTTAATTTAATTAGAAAAATATATATAACTCAATATATTCACAAAACGAGTAATGGAACGAATCTAACTTATATCAAAAATAAAAGATCTAACTACAACAATAACATATAATAATAGAATAATTATTTATTTATTTTTATACATATAGATTACAGGATGACTCAAAAATATCAATATAGAAAAAAAAATTATTAACCAACTGTTATAATTCAGTTTTTTTTGTAAAATTTATATATATATGAATGAGATTTCAGAATATTATCATTATATTCATTTATATAATTTTGTGTCAAAATTTCAGTTTATTTTAAATTTCATTATAAGCATAATATATATTAAGTTATACATAATCTTATTAAAATATATTTACATATATAAGACGATAACCAATCTAAATACAATAATAATTAAAGTTTTAGTATATTTAGAAGGAAAATATTATAGTTGAATTCAGAAAAATAGATGCAATCTAAAATACACAAGTGTAACCAAATCGAATATTGACAAAAAAAAGCAACCTAACCGATTAAATATAACATCTACTAAATCATATGTCTAATTAAAATAATCTAATATTATTAATATAAGTTATACATATAAATTATAAAGTAATTTATAATTAAAAGTAAATATCGATGTAAATTAATAAATTAGAATATATTACAATATATTTACTTGATAAATATTCATACCCGTGCATGAGCACGGGAAAATCACCTAGTAATCTAAGATTTTGATTCTCTTTGCAGCTTGAGACTGGATTTGCAATACAGTGTTTGGAGGAAGTTGTAATCACAGTGAGATCTCCACTAAACGCAGAACAGAAGATGAACACTCTTGAATCACTTGTGAAGTATGCTAAAGGTCTGAAACGAATGGTGATAAGGGTTCTTCGGATGAAGAGCAACCACAGCAGTGCAGATGATTTCTGCGATGATGTCTGCAAGTTTCACCACATGAATAGACATATTGTTCACATTGAGTGACATATTGTTTTGGCTGCTAATCAATATTTCAACCTTTGATTTCTGTATTTCTTGTTCTGTTTGTTGAAAGCATTTCTAGTTTTTGAACTCTTGAGTAACTTTTTGTTTCTCTGATTCATTGTTAAGAACTTGTGACTGTAATTCCGACAAAGGTTCGGAACTTTTACCAGTTGTCTTTAAATACTCATACTCATCATTATAGCACTTCTTAAAATTTAAGTTTTCAGTTGTTTTCTTGTTTTGACATGCATTAGTAGCACAATTGTTTTCTTAAGCTGGTTTATATCAGGTGGTAATTAGGATTACACTTTCTTGATACAACTTGTTTAAGAAATAGCCAAATTCTGAATTAAAAATAGAAAATGATTACAAATTAGAAAAATGTATTTATCTAAGACAAAAATCCTAAACTTGCATAAAAGTTTGGTTGGACTAAGATTAAGAAGATAAAATAGTCTCCTAAAAACAAGATAAACCTCAGATTATATTTAACATTTTCATACACTACCAATCAAAGACAGGAAAAAACGCACCACCAACAATTTCAAAACCAAAAAAGATTCTCTATATAAACAATAAGAGTCCCAATCCAAAAACCTCACCAGCTAATTTATTCTCAACTAAACTTATACATATATTTTTTTAAACACAATAAAATGGCGGGCCGTGACATTTTCCAGCTGCGTTTCGTAGCTGTCGCGGTATCCGTCGCCGTTTTGACCTTCCTCGCCTCCAGCCAAGTCACAGAAGCGGCACGTATGATGAGCCTCTGCTCCCACACCGCGTATCCATCTCTATGCCAACCTTTGGTGAAACGTATCACGAACCCAAGACGTGCCACACACCGAACCATTCAGGCTTTGGAAGCTAAGACAAAACAGGCTTTAGCTGAAGTTGCTAGGTACAAAGATGGTAACCAAGCTATAGCCACGTGTTACGCGACGTTTAGCGATGCGGTTTATAATTTGGCGAACGCGAGGAAGAGTATAAGGAAACGTGATGTGTTGGGGATGAACACGTTTTTGACCGCGGCTGTGTCTGATTATGGTGTGTGTGTTGAAGGGTTTATTGACTCGAATCAAGTTAATACGGTTCAGAATGTAGCGGTTGACTTGAGAAAAATTAGCAGCAACTGCTTGACGTTGTCTACATTGGTTTAGATGATCGATTTACAAATAACCATTTAATTCATTTTTTTTTTCTTCTCAAAACAAACAAAAAACTAATTAATTTTGTCTAAATGAATAAGAAGGGAAAAAATTCTTATGTTGCAACTTTTGTTTTGAGGGGGAGATGTTTGTTGGATCATCATTTGTCATGTAAAACGCCACTGGGTGTTATTAAATTATATTTTGGTTTCTTGTAAATTAATTTTAACAATTTTCAACCATTATACTTGTTGATTTGGTGCAAAGATCATTATATACTTACTGTTTAACATACATCTTTTGACAATGTGAAGAAACTCTACGGAAAAGAATACAAAGACTGAACAAGTGGGCTTTGGACTCTACTACAAAGCATAGAGATGGATAATGAAAGCTTAAAATATCTTCTGTAATTCGTGGTTTGTGAGTGGTAGAAGAAAAAAAAACATGTCGACCAAAGAAAAAAAATACAAAGAGAAAAAATAAAGCTTAAAATATCAAAACAAAAAGACAAAAACAGAAAATTAAATAAAAAATAAAAATTAACTTTTTTTTTTTGAACGACGAAATAAAATAAAAATTAACTCTGAGAAGAGATTCTCTTATTAAAATATCACAATGTAGGGCCCATGGATACAGACTATCAACGGGGCCCAAGAAGATTCACACGAGACTGGGCTCTCTCACTCTCTACCGTTCCTCTTCCTAGCTCAAATCACGAAGCGCCACGTGGCATTATCGCAGGATAAAGTGTCCCTCGTCTTACTTCGATTACACGTGAGTGTGTGGAGTGAGTGAAGAAGAGGCGTTCACGAACGATAGAAACCTCACTCTCTCACCTTCAAAGATCATCCAACTTTTCGAGAACAGGTGAATTTTTCTTCAGTTTCTTTTGAATTCTGCTTAGATTATCACTTCGTCCGTTTCGATTTCGTTGATTCGGTTGATTGAAGTTGCTGTTGAGATTGCTTAGTGACTCTTGGTGTATAAATTATATTGAAACTTGTTCTTATTAGCTGATGAAGTAACTATTACTATCTTCAAAGTCGAAAAAAGCAAAAAAAAAAAAATATCTAAAAGAAGAAAAGTGTGTTTGGCTTTGTGACTTTGTCTAAGTCTCTCAGATTCTACCTTTGTTTAGTATAACTTGTTTAATCCATGTTTTTTTGTTTGTTATTGTATCGTTTTATATAATTAATACTTTACTTAACAGATCCGGCAAGCTTTGATTCAACTGTGACAAGGAAGCATGAGTAACTCCGTGGTTAATCACTTACTTAACCGGGGTTTTGTTCGTCCTGTGAGTTTTGAACATCGTAACAAGCTCAACTCGTCGTGCGTTCCTGCTGTGAGGAAGATTGGCCTGGGTACACAACTATACGGTAAAGGTATTAAAAAGACAGGACGGAGGCTGATCACTGAGACAGGAAGACCTGTCTCTTTTGTTACACGAGCTGTTCTTGCCATGGATCCTGCTTCTCAGGTAGAATATTCTTTTTTTTTTTGTGAAGATCATGTGGTATCTTGTTGCAACTGAATGATATGCACTTCTGTCTGAACAAAAATAAGTTTTATCTGCTTGTTTATGTATTGATTTTGTCTTTTATTAACTAAGTAGTAACTGCAAAAACAGATGCTAAATGTTCATGAAATGTGGAGTGCTTGTACATTTCTCTCACAAACGAATGCATAAGATGGTTTTCATATTGATATGTTCTGAAAAGTTTCATCCTTGTACAGACAGTGGAGAAATTTAATCTTGACGGAAACATTGACTTACTGGTAAGTCTATCCTCACAAACATGGATTTGATTTTGTAGCCATAATATTTTTATGATGGTAAGTTCAAAGCATGTAATTAAATAGGTTGAGGTCACTTCTACAAATGTGAGAGAAGTAAATATCCAGATAGCTCATACGAGTGACTCATTGCTTCTACACTGGGGTGCAATACGTGACAACAAAGAGTATGGTCTTCAGCTTTGGGTTTTTCAGCTTACTATGGCACATTGTTTTATTAACGTTCTTTCTTATTTTCCGTGTCAGAAAATGGGTTCTACCATCTCGCTGTCCGGATAGAACTGTAAACTACAAGAACAGGGCGCTTAGAACTCCATTTGTGAAAGTGAGTTTTAGAAACATTCCTCGACATACAACATCACATCGCTACTTGTGATGTTATGTTTTCCAGCTGATACCATTGTGACTTAAACATTTTCAAATGATGCTTTGGGTTCCTCATTCACAGTCAGGTGGCAACTCTTTCCTTAAACTAGAGATAGATGATAACGCCATACAGGCAATCGAGTTTCTTATATTTGATGAAAGTCGAAACAAATGGTGAGCTTGTTTTCTCTTCTTCTTACTGTTTAAATTAGAACAAATAGCTACCTAATTTTAGTGTCGTTACTCATAATCTTAACATATGCAGGTACAAAAGTAATGGTCAAAATTTTCGTATAAACTTACCCATGGAAAGGAATGTGGATCACAATGTTTCTGTTCCTGAGGATCTTGTACAGATCCAAGCATATCTTAGATGGGAGCGTAATGGTAAACAAAACTACAGCCCTGAGAAAGAGAAGGTAAGACGTTGTACCTATATAAGCGTATCTCTAAGGATATTTCTCTTTGATATCATTTTAACTTCTTCACCTTTTATGTTGTTGTGTGTGATTCACTTTAAAGAGGAATCATCATTCTCACCAGGCATTTAGGGTTGAGTTCATTGGCTGTAAAAAATTTTCACAACTTTTCAGTTAGATATTAAGTGTTTTATATCTGACTGATCAGCAAATGATTGATGCCATGATGGGTTAACTTTGTTTGTCACTAGTGGTTCTTGGATCATAGTGGAAAAAAATACTTTGTTTGAATTATATTACAAAAATAACTCTTGAATAAGCTTGGCTGATCTCTTAAAATATATTTTGTTGCTTTATCTGGTAAACCTGTATAAAACTAGTTGCATTTCTATCAAATATTCTACATTGTGTGTATATCCATTGTATTATAGTTAAGCAGAGTAATTATTCTCTGGTCAATAGGAGGAGTATGAAGGCGCCCGTACGGAGCTACGTGAGGAAATGATGAGAGGTGCTTCAGTGGAAGATCTCCGAGCAAAGCTGTTGAAGAAAGATAGCACTAGTGACTCTCCAAAATCTAAGGAGACTTCATCCAGTGAACAGAATTCACAGAAAAAAGTTTCCAAGCAACCGAAGGAAAAAAAATATTTTAGCACTGAGAAGATCCAGCGCAAAGGAAGGGACCTGAATAAGCTTATATGCAAGCACGTTGCTGATTTGGTTGACCCAAAATCCATATCCTCAACTGAACCACGGGCCTTGACAACTCTCGAGTTATACGCCAGAGCAAAGGAGGAACAAGAAACCACTCCAATCTTTAGCAAGAAAATATTCAAGCTTGAAGGCAGTACGATTTTGGTCAGTTGATAGCATCTATCTTGCTTTCTTTTGTATTTCTATTTGGGTTAGATATACATCTGACAAGTATATTCTAATGGCAAGTCATTATTCCCACTATGTAGGTTCTTGTCACTAAACTTTCCGGAAAGACGAAAATTCATGTGGCAACTGATTTCAAAGAGCCAATTACCCTTCACTGGGCTTTGTCTCAAAATGGTGGAGAGTGGTTGGTAAGTTTTATTTTAAAATTTCTCAAACAAGACTACAAGAGCATACTTTTCACAGTGATCGCATTTTTGTTTTCTTTTGGTCTGATTTTATGAGTCATTGACACTGCAGGACCCACCTTCAGATATACTGCCACCAAAATCTTTGCCAGTACGTGGCGCTGTTGATACACAACTGGCTATTGCTTCAACAGATCTTCCTAGTCCGGTATGACTAGTGGAATATATTGTACTATTAGCCGAGTAGCATTTGGATCTAGAGATTGTATATTATAACCTCATGTTAACCAAAACTGCAGGTACAAACTTTTGAGCTGGAAATAGAAGGCGACAGTTATAAGGGCATGCCATTTGTACTCAATGTTGGTGAAAGGTGGATTAAAAATAATGACAGTGACTTTTATGTGGACTTTTCTCAAGAAGAAAAACATGTTCAGAAGGTTACTCTTCCTTCTTGATCTGAAAAGCTTTTTCAGTTGGCTATATTGTCTCCTAGATACTTAAATTTGTTCCATTTGAAAGGATAATGGTGATGGAAAAGGTACAGCCAAGAATTTACTGGATAAAATCGCAGATCTGGAAAGCGAGGCCCAGAAGTCTTTCATGCATAGGTCAGTTTTATGGTCAAGCATTCTGGTTCTTATTTTCGTGTTTTAGACTTGAAGAAGCTTAACTGGCATTCCTTTTCTTAAGTATTTTTCTGCTTTAAGTCCCTTCCAAGCCGGTGATCCAACTTTAGCTGTTTTGTTAGTTTTCTTGGGTCATCATCACTTGTCAGTTTTTTTTCCGCCTATGAGGTTGAAGAGACTGACATTATATTCTACAACTTATAGTCGATGATCCATGTTCCACAATCACTAAATTTTTGTGCATTAACTGATTTGCAACATCCGGAAAACACTGACTTTAATGATGGTACTTTTTGTATTTGTAGATTCAACATTGCAGCAGATCTTGTGGACGAGGCAAAAAATGCTGGTCAACTGGGCTTTGCAGGGATACTAGTTTGGATGAGGTTTATGGCTACAAGACAGCTTGTGTGGAACAAAAGCTATAATGTTAAGCCAAGGTACAGTTCAAAGAATATGATTCTTATTCTGCCGCAGGGGAAATTATCATATCTTATGGGAGCCTTCTAGTTTGTTCTGACGTATACAAGTGATGCTTTCGTTTACAGCGTCGTTCAGTAAATTACACAACTCACTACTTTATTGCAGGGAGATAAGCCAAGCGCAGGATAGGCTGACTAGCGGTCTACAGGACGTGTATGCAAGTTATCCAGAGTACAGAGAACTTTTGCGGATGATCATGTCTACTGTTGGTCGCGGCGGTGAAGGAGATGTTGGGCAACGAATTCGAG